ACAAACCCACGCACACCACAAACCCACGCACACCACAAACCCACGCAGACACAAACCCACGCACACCACAAACCCACGCACACCACAAACCCACGTAACACCACAAACCCACGCACACCACAAACCCACGCACACCACAAACCCACGCAACACCACAAACCCACGCACACCACAAACCCACGCAACACCACAAACCCACGCACACCACAAACCCACGCACACCACAAACCCACGCACACCACAAACCCACGCACACACAAACCCACACGCACACCACAAACCCACGCAACACCACAAACCCACGCACACCACAAACCCACGCACACCACAAACCCACACACACCACAACCCACACACACCACAAACCCACGCACACACAAACCCACACGCACACCACAAACCCACGCGCACCACAAACACACGCGCACACCATAACCCACGCGCACCACAAACCTACGCACACACAAACCCACACGCACACCACAAACCCACGCAGACACAAACCCACACGCACACCACAAACCCACGCACACCACGAACCCACTCACACCACGAACCCACGCACACCACAAACCCACGCACACCACAAACCCACGCAACACCACAAACCCACGCACACCACAAACCCACGCAACACCACAAACCCACGCAACACCACAAACCCACGCACACCACAAACCCACGCACACCACAAACCCACGCACACCACAAACCCACGCACACCACAAACCCACGCGCACACCACAAACCCACGCGCACACCACAAACCCACGCACACCACAAACCCACGCACACCACAAACCCACGCACACCACAAACCCACGCACACCACAAACCCACGCACACCACAAACCCACGCACACCACAACCCACGCACACCACAAACCCACGTACACACAAACCCACACGCACACCACAAACCCACGCAACACAACAAACCCACGCACACCACAAACCCACGCACACCACAAACCCACGCACACCACAAACCCACGTACACACAAACCCACACGCACACCACAAACCCACGCGCACCACAAACACACGCGCACACCATAACCCATGCGCACCACAAACCCACGCACACACAAACCCACACGCACACCACAAACCCACGCTCACACAAACCCACACGCACACCACAAACCCACGCTCACACAAACCCACACGCACACCACAAACCCACGCACACCACAAACCCACGCACACCACAAACCCACGCACACCACAACCCACGCACACAACAAACCCACGCACACCACAAACCCCCCAAACCCACGCACACACAAACCCACGCACACCACAAACCCACGCACACCACAAACCCACGCACACCACAAATCCACGTAACACCACAAACCCACGCACACCACAAACCCACGCACACCACAAACCCACGCAACACCACAAACCCACGCACACCACAAACCCACGCAACACCACAAACCCACGCACACCACAAACCCACGCAACACCACAAACCCACGCACACCACAAACCCACACACACCACAAACCCACGCACACCACAAACCCACGCACACACAAACCCACACGCACACCACAAACCCACGCGCACCACAAACACACGTGCACACCATAACCCACGCGCACCACAAACCTACGCACACACAAACCCACACGCACACCACAAACCCACGCACACACAAACCCACACGCACACCACAAACCCACGCACACCACGAACCCACTCACACCACGAACCCACGCACACCACAAACCCACGCAACACCACAAACCCACGCACACCACAAACCCACGCAACACCACAAACCCACGCACACCACAAACCCACGCACACCACAAACCCACGCACACCACAACCCACGCACACCACAAACCCACACGCACACCACAAACCCACGCGCACACCACAAACCCACGCAACACCACAAACCCACGCACACCACAAACCCACGCACACCACAAACCCACGCACACCACAAACCCACGCACACCACAAACCCACGCACACCACAAACCCACGCACACCACAAACCCACGCACAACACAAACCCACGTACACACAAACCCACACGCACACCACAAACCCACGCAACACCACAAACCCACGCACACCACAAACCCACGCACACCACAAACCCACGCACACCACAAACCCACACACACCACAAACCCACGCACACCACAAACCCACGCACACCACAAACCCACGTACACACAAACCCACACGCACACCACAAACCCACGCGCACCACAAACACACGCGCACACCATAACCCATGCGCACCACAAACCCACGCACACACAAACCCACACGCACACCACAAATCCACGCTCACACAAACCCACACGCACACCACAAACCCACGCACACCACAAACCCACGCACACACAAACCCCACGCACACACAAACCCACGCACACCACAAACCCACGCACACCACAAACCCACGCACACCACAAACCCACGCGCACACAAACCCACGCACACACAAACCCACGAACACCACAAACCCACGCAACACCACAAACCCACGCACACCACAAACCCACGCACACACAAACCCACGCACACCACAAACCCACGCACACCACAAACCCACGCGCACACCACAAACCCACGCACACACAAACCCACGCGCACACCACAAACCCACGCAACACCACAAACCCACGCACACCACAAACCCACACCACAAACCCACGCGCACACCACAAACCCACGCACACAAACCCACGCGCACACCACAAACCCACGCACACCACAAACCCACACACACCACAAACCCCACGCACACCACAAACCCGCGCGCACACGTACAGCGACTGCGGCTTGGGATCGTGTTCGGTGTCACCGTTTGGTCACGCGTCATCGTCATCACGGCACTGTGAGCGGAAATGTGGAACTTAAAAGGCCCCGGGTTGCCCACCCCCCCACCCCCCTTTCCCCCCGGACCTCCGCGTGACATCGCCAGCATGTCCTTACCCCGGGCACGACGGAGATCATGGACTCGCATTAAAATAACCACCGACCCAGACCCTCCCCCAGTAACTGAATGTGCCCGCTTCTAGGGGAAAAAAAATCGTCAATGAGCACGTCCCCCGCTTCATAAGAGATGGGTTGTTCCTTCTGATAATCCAAGGGACGAAAAAAAGTGTTTAGAAGCATCCGAGAGAGAGAGGAGAAGGGGGTTGGGGTGGCCTCTGTTGTAACCCTTAACCTAACAAAACATATCACTGTTTGAGGGACGGTGGGGGTGTAACTGCTGTTATGGCCGTGTCGTGGGGGGGGGGGAGGGGGTATTTCACCGTGCCCCCCCCCGCCCTCCCTGCAGTTTGCACAGTGTCGGTTTTGCCTGTGATTTGCTCCTTGTGATGTTGTTAAAAAAAAGAAACCTCAAAAAAGTCTGAAGATGTCCATATCATACACACCGTGGCTGATCGGCGCCAATAAAGGAAAAACCCCGCGTGGTCAAAACCCGGTGTGCGTTGTTGCTCGAATCACAATCTACATTTCTAACACATCCCTGCGGAGGGAGCTGGTAGGAACGTTGGGTTGCTCGGTCAATGGCCTGCAGGGTCAACGGCGGCGTGGTGTATACCGCAAATATAGCCGACTGTGAGGGCGGGCACAAGCCGGCGTGAGTAGGTTAAACGTTGAGTTTTATAAGGGCACCACGGGGTGACCAGCCCCTCCCCACCCAGCCCCTTCCCACCCCTCCCACCCCCCACACTCCCCTCCCCACCCCTCCCTCCCCACCCAGCCCCTCCCTGCACGACGGACGGACACAATAATCCCCTGTGGACTAGTGGAACCAGTGGGTCCCTACCAGTAAAAGGGTTTTATTTTAAGGTAAAGGTGCACATGTGGTGCGGCAAGCGATCCAGGTGGAGCCCCGAATACTGCAATTTGTCTCGCACGGTCACACCCAGGCTATTCTCTCTATCGCGGCAACGCCTTGCCTAATCGCATCATCGGTACGCGCAGTCTCGAACAATTAACTGGGTCTCGGGGCACTCCGAATTAAATACGCGTTTGCGTTCTTTTACGCTGTTGTTGAAAACATCTCTCATGGTGATCGTCAAGAGGGCCCCAACTCGTAGCTTCAAGGCACCCCCTGCCCCCACGCTCGTTAGGGTACTGGGTGCAGCCCTGCAATTTCCTGCTGAGGACACTGCTGGTGGAAGGGCCTCCTCCAGAGCGAGATCTGGAGAGATCACCCCTCCCCCTCCCCCGCTACGGGGTTATTCTGGCCTACTCTTCCACTTGTAAGAGGTGGGAGAACCCAGAATGCAGCTTTTTTTCCTGCTGTTCGCGACACATGGCATGAAGGCAACCAAGCAAAAATCTAATGGCACCAAATAGCACAGGGGGTCAACCCCCCCCGCCCCCCTTAGGATTCGTAAAGAAAACAATGAAAATGGTGAGAGAGTCAAATAGTATCTCTGAAATTGAAACTCTCAACAAAAGGATGCACGTATAACAGTACGTGAATCTCTCTTTTATTATCTCGCTGCAGCTCTATTGTGTCTTATACTTCTTATCGCACTCCGGGCTCCACCACCTCTCGTCTACATCCTCAATCATCTCACGAGGATTTTATACTGGTAGGGGAGGGGCTGGGTGGGGCTGGGAGGGGTGGGGTGGTGCTGGGTGGGGAGGGGCTGGGTCACCCCGTGGTGCCCTTGTAAAATTCAACGTTTAAACTACTCACGCCGGCTTGTGCCCGCCCTCACAGTCGGCCATATTTGCGGAATACACCACGCCGCCGTTGACCCTGGCCATTGACCGAGCAACCCAACGTTCCTACCAGCTCCCTCCGCAGGAATGTGTTACAATGGGAGGAGCAGGGGGTGGGGGGTGGTTAGGGAGAGAAGGAGGGACACACAAGTTCTAGAGGGGCCCCCCAGTTTGACCGTCACCATCACCCGTGGTTCGTGGGGCACACACGTGACACACACGTGACACACACGTGGCTTAAGACATGAGCAGGAGGGACACGCGAAGAGCGAGGGCACTGGGACCAGACGCTTTAATATATATATACTGCACTGCTTTTGTTTCCTTTAAACAGTAAATGTGCAACACAGATATCATGAGGTGAACAGACGTCTACTTGTAGAATATACAGATACATTTTTTATTCCTATTACATCGTAACAGTTACTTGGTAATTTGTTTCCATATATTTTTTTTCTTAAAACATAAAACTCTTGGGCAAATAAAAAAAAAGCAAATCGTGCAAGCAAGCTTTAAAATATATTTTCTCTACACGCAGCGTTTTTAAGAGGCAAGTGCAATCACATTGGGTCTCCCACCAGACCAACAATTGTACACAATAAGAGTTATCCACAACAACAACACATTTTCCAATCCCAGCCCCTGAATTCCAGGCTGCGCCAACAGCGCCGGGCGGATGGACACACACACGTGTCACTCACAGCGGGGCCAGGCAAGGGCTGCCCCACACACACACGTCACTCACAGCGGGGCCAGGCAAGGGCTGCCCCCACACACAGCGCCACTCACAGCGGGGCCAGGCAAGGGCTGCCCCCCCACACAGCGCCACTCACAGCGGGGCCAGGCAAGGGCTGCCTCACACACAGCGCCACTCACAGCAGGGCCAGGCAAGGGCTGCCCCCCACACAGCGCCACTCACAGCAGGGCCTGGCAAGGGCTGCCCCCCACACAGCGCCACTCACAGCAGGGCCTGGCAAGGGCTGCCCCCCACAAAGCGCCACTCACAGCGGGGCCAGGCAAGGGCTGCCCCCCCCACACAGCGCCACTCACAGCGGGGCCTGGCAAGGGCTGCCCCCACACACAGCGCCACTCACAGCAGGGCCAGGCAAGGGCTGCCCCCCACACAGCGCCACTCACAGCAGGGCCAGGCAAGGGCTGCCCCCCACACAGCGCCACTCACAGCAGGGCCAGGCAAGGGCTGCCCCCACACAGCGCCACTCACAGCAGGGCCAGGCAAGGGCTGCCCCCACACAGCGCCACTCACAGCGGGGCCAGGCAAGGGCTGCCCCCACACAGCGCCACTCACAGCGGGGCCAGGCAAGGGCTGCCCCCCACACAGCGCCACTCACAGCAGGGCCAGGCAAGGGCTGCCCCCACACAGTGCCACTCACAGCAGGGCCAGGCAAGGGCTGCCCCTCACACAGTGCCACTCACAGCGGGGTCAGGCAAGGGCTGCCCCCCACACAGCGCCACTCACAGCAGGGCCAGGCAAGGGCTGCCCCCCACACACGCCACTCACAGCAGGGCCAGGCAAGGGCTGCCCCCACACACAGTGCCACTCACAGCGGGGCCAGGCCCGGGCTGCCCCCCCACACAGCGCCACTCACAGCGGGGCCAGGCAAGGGCTGCCCCCACACACAGCGTCGCTCACAGCGGGGCCAGGCCCGGCCGCCCCTTTCTCGGACACTCAGAACCGCCAACGCCAACCTAGACGCCCTCACCCCCCCAACCCCAGAGACAGGTTAACACACGCGGCTCACTCTCACGTCAGGTTTGTGCGAGTTAACATGGCCAGGTGCCTCAGCGGCAGGGCGAGCGGCTCGCAATAGGAAGGTTGCGATTTCACATCCTGGTTGGGGGGGGGGGGGTTGGGGTTGACTCAGCCCATCATCCTTCTCTCCGTGGTCGATACAACGACTACCACTCTGCGGGGTAGTCAACAGTGGTTGTCTTACGGACAGACTCGCCCCTGTCATAGGTGGAATTCCCATCACTGGCACAGGGCTCAGTGCTCATTTGAGCAGCAATTCGCCGACTTGCTGTTGTTATTGAGCGAGCAACAAGGAAGTTCCCGGTTCCTTATCTGGCGAATGACAAAATCCGTCTCTCGCCTGGCGTCTGCAAGTGGCTGGCTGCGCATCGCCACTGCTCACTCTGCTAATGTCCCGGCTGCCAACACAAATTTGCCACGAAGTGACGGTGACGCCACCCACCCCAGACACGGGCAATGGTCTCCGGCGAGTGCGTTGTGTGTGTGTTCCGAGTCGCTCAAGAGCCAATCGTCGACTGTAATGCCAATAGCAAACGGAGTTGACGTTAAGTGCATCACGAAGTAGCCACTCCGCGAGTGAACCGCCAGCCATCACCACCCCAGACACAGGCGCGCGCACGCGCCTCTGAACGGGAGTGGTGTTTCGTTGTTGCTTCAAGTCACCAGCTGGTGAGATGGCAAGTCGTGGAGAAGCCTGCGCCTTGCCCCAAGTGCTGTTCCCGGCATGGGAAGGATTTAAAAAACAGAGAGCCAAACTCGTGCCAAAAAAAACAAACGGGGCTGTCGACGTCGTTCACGTAGGGGATGGGGGGGTCTCTCGCTTTGGGGCAGGCGGCGATTAGTCCGGCAGGTGCCGCTTTGCCGGGAGGCAACAGGGGACAGCCGCGCGCCCCCCCCTCCCGCTCTCTCTTTCTCTTCCCACTTTTGTCCAGGACTCGGGGCGATGTCGCGCGAGCAGTGGCAAACGTGGGGCCAAAGTTCAGCGCCCGTCGAGACGCAGCGCAGAAACGTCCGGCGCACCTTCCCTCCCTCCTACCCCCCGCGAGACTCCAATCTGTAGGGTTGCCGCGTTATGATTTTTTCGCAATGATTGCGAACACGACGCTCGTGGGGATAGATTACCGTGGACACGTGAATTGTCGTGTATGTTATGGCGTTTGTGCTTTTCTGATCGATGACTTTCAGCACAAGTAAAGATCTAGTTGGAAGTTCTTCAACTGCAGTAAAATCGACGCAATCCTGCCACAAGTCTTTGAACAGTCATAGATCTCCTAAAAGCAATAAGTCTTCATACGTCTTATAATTATCGGCCAAAATGTCACCTTTTACATCTTTTTTCCTTTTAAGGTAGTATTATTGACGAATGTGCAGAGTTTACTTATAATCATTGTAACCTGACAATTCTGTAACTGCTTACGGGCACATGGCTATCAGTCACACGAAAAAGAAGTTAGGCGATTACAGGAACGACGGAAAAGACGCAGCCAATAAAAATGCCCCCGCCATCACAGAAAACGTTTTTCCAAAAGCACTAATTGAACGGCCAACAGTTACTCGGTTACAACTTTAACTTCGGAGCGTCCTATATTTCGTACGTATTTTTGCCAGGGCCTTTTCAACAAACAAAAAAACCGAGATCTCAGAAGGATTCAACAAACGACGGATTATCGCGCCACGGATATTTCGCTCGACGGGACGGTAAGACGACAATCGCGCCACGTTACGTCGCCATATCGCGGCAACCCTACGCCAAACCGGCCGCCCCCCCGATCCACCACCGCCGCATCTGACCGGCGTCATCACCTCGCTAGGGGGCTCCACAAGTGCCCCCCCCCTCCTATGATTGACTCGTTCTTCACTCACAATCGACCCGCCATCAAGTATCTGCGTAATCATCAGTACATTCAACTCGGCTCCTTTTAGGCAACCTCGTGGTAAGCTTTGGCAAACTCCCTTTCGGCTAATACTCCAGCTCAGCCACATAAAGGCATGCGCACCGCATACAAAAAAAACATACATTCTTTACATTCTTTTATCTGCAGCATTTAAAATCAGCCAGATGCTCCGTGGAAGCACGTCTTGCATCTTCATCCTTTTTTTTGTGTTATATTGCATTTCGTTACCTTAACATTTTGACGACTAAAATCACACGTTTACGTAAACTCTGTAACCATATGTATTTCATACACGTACGTTTTTTTTCAGTTTTTTTTTCAGTTTCGTTAAAACTATAGTCGATTAGCCCTAAACTAACGATGGGCAGGGCGCGCGACACTGGCAGTGACGGGGGCAGGGTTACGTAGGGGACACGCGTAAACAAGACGTCAAGTGGAAGAAAGGAAACGCGCGGGAGGCTTAACGGGGCACCACGCTCGCATCCAAGCCCTTGTCAAACCGCGGCCGCTCGCTTTTTCGCCGTCGGGGGCCCAATCGTCTCGCTCCGCTTTCCACTCCTACTACGTCGTTCCCCCGACCTTACCAATTTCTCTCCCACCCCCACCCTCTCCGACTCTCGCCTCCGCTTGAGAGAGCCGCGCGCACGATAGAAGCCGCGGGAAAAACGTTGCCCCGTTTCTGCCGTTGCGAACGCTTGAGACTGAGTCGGGGTCGGGGGTTTCGTGCCGCTGCGCCGCGTGGTCCCGCACCGCTCGTGTTTTTGTTGAACACTGGAGGCAGCGCACACGCGAGGCGCGGGCGGGCAGGCGTCTACATCAGCTCCGTTCAGATTACAGCACTTCAAACCCTAGTGTCAAAAAAAAAAACATTTACTTATACAAACCAGCATTAACAATGAAAGTGCAATATTCTCTTATTAAAACCTCAGGCCTTGTGCTGATAGCAGGACACAGCACAGTGCAAGTTGGGAAGGCAAGGGATGCGCACACACACACACACACTGCCACTCGCTGACCGATCTTACACAGACCAATCACGTCTATTTACTTACTACTGAAGCCTTCATGTACTGTACAATGAGCTAACACACGATAACCATATTATAGAAAAAACATATTCAAGATATAATTAGGTTTATGCATGTATATAAAAAAAAAAACGCTGATGTGGACAATAGTTTCAAATGCGGCTCGCTCTCTCTCTACACATCTAGCAGACGGTCGTGCGGCAAGAGTCACGACGCTATTGGGAGACGGGGCAGCCCACAAACAACTTGGCGCCTCTGGTGCCGCACTTTTCGCGACAGGCGGCCGCGTGGCCCACGTCTGGCCGTGCCGCCACTGCCAAGGCCTTCGTGGAGCCCGCCGGCGGGCAGGGGACACGGGCCACCGACCCGCCGCCTCCCACGGCCGCCCGGGCCGAGCAGCGGCCGGGAAGTTGGCGCCCGGGCGTTTGCGCGGCCGGAGGAGACGAGCGGCCCGCGGTGGCGGCGACGCAGGCCAGCGGGAGGCCGCCCACGGACAGCGCCAGGCGGGGGTCGCTCAGCGGAGAGCCGCAGATGGGGATGGACGTGACGGTTGCGCACCAGGCCGTGTCGCCGCCGCGCACCGCCGCGGCGCCGTCCGGCGACCCGCCGCCGTGCCGCGGCCGGAGCGGCGGGGAGGACTCGACGGGCTTGCGGCGGTCGCCGACCCCGGCCATCGCCGCGGCCGCCCCTCGCTGCCTCGCGCTCGGTCCCCCGCGGTACCCCGCGGCTTCGAAGCCGCCGTCGTTGGCGCACGTCGCGGGGTCGCGCACGTGCCTCGCGTTCGCCGAGGCTCTCCCCGTCGGCGACGGGGATTTGTCGTTGACCTTCAGGTCGACCTGTAAAAGTGCTTGGAAGAAGTTGCATTCGGGGAATCGTTTGTCCCTGGGCTGGGTGAAAGACTCACAAGGCTGGCCGCCACCGCCACCGGAGGGGCAGTGTGACGTGTCGGGCTTGGGCGAGGGGAAACCCTTGCTGTTCTCATTGCCCGTCATCACCGCGGAGCTTCTATGGCCGGGGGAAGAGAGTGCGGATTTCTTCACGCTGCTCTGCTCAGGTTCTTGCAAAAGACCTGACCAAGGAAGCTTCCCAAAGGTGTGCTCGTGAATGGCGCTGCCTTGGTTTCCGAACCAACCCACCTTGCCTTTGTCGGGAAAGAGACAGGGATCGCTGTGGTTCTTCCGGCAACACCAGTCCTTGTGATGGCCTACCCTCGTCGCGCACGGCTCCCTTTCGTGCACGAGCGGCAGTAGCTGCTCGCCAAAATAATACGGGGAAAAGTAGACGACGGGGATGCTGTGCAAAGGCTCCCAGAGCCGGAAGAATGCCTGGCCGGCGTAGGCGCCGGCGGGTTCCGCGTCGTCCGCAACCTCCGAGTCGTCTCCGTCCTCGGGCACGGGTTCCGCCTCGCTGCGCGACCGCTTCCTCTTGCTCTGGCTGCTGCGCCGGGCCTTGCACTTCCTCGTGCACCTGCCCTGCCCCTGCTTCTTCACGGCGGGCGACACCTCTGCTCCGACGGCTGCAGCAGCGGCGCACTTCAACAGGCTCTCGCCGGACGCGCCCTTCTGCATTGCCACGGAGGGAGCCGGTGGCTGGGAATTGGCGGAAGCATCGGCAGCGAATGGCACGCGGTGCCGATTTGCCTGCGCGGCTGCAGCCTCGTCGCTGTCCGTATTCTCCGCGCAGCACCGCGGGATTCTCCCCTCTTCGGAATTCTCCCTCTTTCCCGACGGGCCGCTCTTTGCGCTCTGGACGCCCGACTTCTGCCCTGGCAGATCCCTCAATTTGATGCACGGCGGCGTTCCTGCCAATCCAGCCCGGGTTTTCTCCGAGGCGCAATCCTCGCCGCCCAGACGGCAGGCCTGGGAAGGCGACGCTTGGCCGAGCGGCGCGGCGTCCACGCCGTCGCACTCCACCCCGCCGCCGCCGCCACCCTTTCCCACGCCGAGCTGTTTCGCCTGCTTCTTCTCGCGTGGAGCGGCCACTCTGACGGCAGGGGACAACGGCGGGCACGGTTCGGCCGCGGGGCCCCCCCTGGCGAGCGTTCGTCTCCTGGAGCAAACGGCCGATGGTCTGGAGGACTGGGGCCGTGCAGCGGCAGTCGCCGCGCCTTTGTCCGGGCCGGACGTTTCGGCGGCGGCGGCGGCGGCGGCGGGGACGGCAGCGCTGCGCAGAGCCGCGACGCTCCCGACCCCGGATGGATCTGAGTGGAGCGCAAAAAACGAGGGCAACGCGAATGGTGAGGACGGCGCTTTGTGAGGACGAGAACGTGGCACACAAAGTAAACGCTACTACGAAAATATAAAAAAAAAATGTTTTTACTATTTTTTATTTTAATCAGGTAAGGCCCACTTTGCTCTTTTCCAGAAGCGACCTGGCCACAAATGATAGCTCAACGAAGTGGCGGCTTATCATCGTGTGGAAATGTATCGTTGCCGAATACTCAACATATGTTTTTTTTATTTTAAGGAAAAAAACGGAGGACCCACAGAGAAATTCACGCCACCACAGGGAGACAATGCAAGCTCCAAATATGCAGGCGTCAAGGTCGGGATTTACCCACGATCTCCTGTATACCAGGCGAGGTAGTTAATATCTTTCCCCCGCAGTGCCATTACTGCTTGCGATTAAAAAAAGATGTGGGTTAGATCACGTAAATGTCAATGTGTCGTACACCCACCTGACACGGCCAATTTGTCACATGAACAGAACGTGCCAATAAATTACAACTTCATGACTACTTCCGCACACTGCTGTGTTAGAGAGCAATTCCACAACATTTACAACAACACTGACAATTGTACTCAACCCGACAACATTGACAAATGTACTCAATTGTAAATATTGTGGGTTTGCTCTCCAACACACCGTTGTGCTAAAGTAGTTACTTAACCCACGCGTATGAATTAATAATCTTTCCCTATAAAAAAACGCACTGACCTCGATCATCTTTCTCTATCAGCAAGGCCACTTCTTCTTCAGAAAACCCAGACCTTAAAAGCAGAAAAACATGACACGTTACATTACCACGCACACCTTTGTTATAAATAACCATGATGTGTTGTACACAGCCTAAACAAAGGGCGGGTGGCCCTCCAGGGATTGCGAGTATCCTACTTCTGTCCGTAGTAATCTTCAAAGAACTCCTCCTTCCACGCCTCCACCTTCCTCTCCTTCTCCTGCTTCAAGCGCAGCTGCATCTCCGCTGTGAATGCACCTGACAGTGCCACGACACCCACATCTCAGACAAGGGCGCACACAACACTCCCGCCACTCACACTCGCTCCACTCACACTCGCTCTCCACTCACACCATCACTCACACCCGCCCCACTCACACCCACACCGCCTCCACTCACACCCACACCCGCCTCCACTCACACCCACACCGCCTCCACTCACACCCGCTCAACCCACACCCACACTGCCTCCACTCACACCCGCACCTGCCTCCACTCACATCCGCACCTGCTCCAATCACACCCGCACCTGCCCCAATCACACCCACACCTGCCCCAATCACACCCACACCTGCCCCACTCACACCCACACCCGCTCCACTCACACTCACACCCGCTCCACTCACACCCACACCGCCTCCACTCACACCCGCACCTACACCCGCAACTGCCTCCACTCACATCCGCACCTGCTCCAATCACACCCACACCTGACCCACTCACACCCACACCTGCTCCACTCACACTCACACCCGCTCCACTCACACCTACACCGCCTCCACTCACACCCGCACCTGCCTCCACTCACACCCGCACCTGCTCCAATCACACCCGCACCTGCCCCACTCGCACCCGCACCTGCTCCAATCGCACCCGCACCTGCCCCAATCACACCCGCACCTGCCCCACTCACACCCACACCTGCCCCACTCACACCCACACCCGCTCCACTCACACTCACACCCGCTCCACTCACACCCACACCGCCTCCACTCACACCCGCACCTACACCCGCTCCACTCACACCCACACTGCCTCCACTCACACCCGCACCTGCTCCACTCACACCCACACTGCCTCCACTCACACCCGCACCTACACCCGCTCCACTCACACCCACACCGCCTCCACTCACACCCGCACCTGCTCCACTCACACCGCCTCCACTCACACCCACACCTACACCACCTCCACTCACACCCACAACTGCTCTATTTCACGAAAGAACCAATGCTGTGCCGATTTTCCCGTCAGTGGGCCCCCAGTGTCGTGACGTGCCTTCGGCCAGCCGGTGGGTCCACTCCGCGAGAGCGACGTTGATGAACTCGTTGTTTAAGGCAGTGCTGCTCGGCTGCTCGACGCCGGCCTTCACCTGACGGGGGGGGACGGGGGGGGCGGTGGGGGGGGGACACGCGCGTTTGTGAGCCGGGTGAGATAAGCCCCTCCCGCTATTTTGACCGGTATCTCTGGAAAAAAGTTGTAGAGGCACAGACACGATATCCTTTGTACAGCTGGAGATAAATATATTTTTGCCCAAGGTTTCCCGTCCTCGCCCAGAAATTGAGCGTTGGCGTGACCCAGCGGTTGTAATGTCTCTCCCCGCGTGGTGCAGAGGTTCGTGGTTCGATCCCGGCATGCCGCCCTGGCTATCACTTCAGGTGCATTGATCTTAAACTGCTTACGGCGGACGTTAAAGATTCAGTGACGTCGCTAGCAAAAAGAGGGGGGGCCACGATGTCCTGGTGTGGCATGGGCTCCAAGTTTGCAAAATTTGCAAACATTGCCTACAAAATTACTCAATTGGGATGACTCACAGCAACATCGCCCTCCCAACATTGGTGGCTATGCATGCCCGCAATCCAGCACCGTGGAGGAGAGGCTTTGGTGGGTCGGATAAAGATTACAAAATGTTGCCGGACTCACTTTCACGTGGATATCGAGGTGCATTACCCTGGCTCGCCAGCAGAATGTAGTACAGCAAAGTGTGAAATTGATACCGACCGACAGTTCTGTATGGGATAGAGTGTTGCCCCCTCGCATGGGTAGGTTTTCTTCAGGTGCTCCGGTTTCCTCCCACATGTACAAAGACTCACCAATTGGCTGAAAACATCTTAATAAATAGACAAATGCAGAGCAATTGTTGGCTGGCAGCCTTCCAGCTTAGTCTGTGGTTCCCTCAGTGACTGCGAGATGCAATTTGCTGTATAACAACTAATAATTAGCACCTTCGTAATAGCCTTGCACTACACGAGGGGTCGGCAACCTGCAGCTCAGTAGCCGCGTGCGGCCGTCCTCAGGTGGAGGACGGCTGCTTGCGTTGTGGCCGAAACGTCGTGAGAATTATTTTATTATGTTTTATTTTTATTATTCTATTACTTCCCTTCTACGTGACTTTACCGAAAGAACCAAGAAGATGAATCCCTGCAGTCACGAAAGCTTTAAATCGAAATTTGACATAATGTAATTAAGGCCACGGCATCCAACTGGTTCATTTTCTCAAGGCTTGGTGCGAGTCATTTTGGTTTATTATTTTTCAAAAATCGAGGCCGCATACGGGTTTTCGGACTGAGTGGTCATTTCAAGGAAGGATTTTAGGATCCCTTAATAAATGCGAGTGGGGGAGCGGAGCACGGTTAAATTACGGTGTTCGTTACGCTGCAGTGCTTTTGGAGGAGGAACCAGGCCGAGGAAGATTAGCGGTAGCAGCAGTGAAAAGGCGAAGGTGGAGAAACGTGCTAAGAACGCGGAGGAGAAGACAGATGAAGATGGGCCTACACAGTACAAAATAATTACTCGCGTCATTTTGTATACGATGTAACAAAATGAATAAGGAGGCGATATGCCTCCTTGACATAGTAGCTGTCTCTCCACATAAAAAATAAACATTTTTTTTCTTTACACATCTCATCAACCATGCGGCCTTCTGGAAGGCGTATATTCTCCACAACGACGCTAATGATTATTGCGTTACGAGTTACACAGTTTTGCGTCGAACTAGGACCAACGTCGAACACAGATAGGTCTCCTTGCCCATAAGCCACCTTACAGTTCAACAGCATTCATTCAAGCTTGACTCTGCAGCGAATGTCAACGCTGGTCCAGGGTTTTGCTTGTGTTGACCAACCCAATGCTGCTAAAATTGTGCCATCCCACAAAAAAGCCTACGTGGTTGAAGGTGATGTGTTAAAAAAGATACTTGAATATAGTAAAAATCAAACTTGTTGGCCGCAATTAACACTCGCGTGCGCACCTCCTTGTCGAGGGGAGGCAGCTGAGACAGAAGTTTCTTCCGGCAGTCGGCTGGTAGGGCCGCGAAGGTGTGCACGTTGATCAGGGCCTTCAGCTCCGTGTTCACGAGCAGCGAGTGCGGGGTGTCCACGTCCATGCTGTCCTCCTCGGGGCGCGAACGATCGTCTGCGGAGAAGAGTTCACGGGTTTCTACCCAGGGAAAGGGAGGTGTGGACCGCTAATACTCAACAAACACGCTGCCGCCGCGACCCTCACCAGAACCAGCGGACTGAGAAACGAACGATTTACGTTACGTGGCCGATGTAAACTTACACAAGGCTATTTGCTCACGCGCAGTTCCATTACTGCACGGGTGCCGCAATGTCGCAAGGGTAAGCGCATGGGTTCTCAGGCTTCACATCTTCCTACCAAGTACAGTATGACGTCTCATATCCGACCGTCACACAACCACCCTAAACAACAATTACCAATTAACCGTCCACACTCAGTGCAGTGGTTGTGCAGTGTAATTGCCGTGTCCCCTAGATGTTCACAAATCAGACCTTCTCTCACACAGTCACAATCTCACACACATTTGGTTACTGTTAAAGCCCAGTAAAGCATTCTCCCAAGTTAACAGTAGTGCTTTATTTGTGTCCAGTAACCTACTGCTGCATGCACGGTGTAACGGTAACTTTGTGTACATGTTCACATATCCGCCTACACCTCAGTCCCCATGCGAGTCGGATATTAATTAGACCATTGCACTCTACCTCTAAGCTCGCGTGTTACGTAACTACACAGCAAAGTCCGAGTTTCTTTACAACCAAAGACAAAAACCAGATTATGTTCTTGGGGGGATTTACATTAGGAAGCAGGAGACTTGGCCTCCTGAAAACTGGTCACAGCTGATCCCTTACCGGGTAGGGTTGCTTGAACGTCGAGGGATTTCTTGAGGGAGTACTGCAAGACGAGCGTTTTCGCAGACAGCCTCCGGCTCTGCGTTCCCCTCTGCTGTTTTAGAGCCTGCGTGCAACACAGAGGTCGCAAACGGGTTTTGATTCCTTACCCGTACCCGTATCCGGCCGCACCAGGGTCGCAAACGGGTACCCGTACCCGGCCGTACCCGTACCCTACCCATACCCGGTCGGGTACGGGTATCGGGTACCTGATTGCGACCTCTGGGATGAAGCCATGTTGCAGGCGCGGGTGGGTTGATTCTAGGAACTTGAATTGTGAGAAGAGACAAGACGTTGGGAAATGAGTGACAAACAGTTACTCACCAGTGACTCACGGTCTACCCGTACCCAGCCGCACCAGGGTCGCAAACGGGTACCCGTACACGTACCCGGCCGGGTACGGGTAGCCGGGTATCGGGTAGGGTACGGGTATCGGGTACCCGGTTGCGACCTCTGGTGCAACATTAGCAGCAAAGACAAAGATCACCCACCCACCCCCCTCCATATAGCCTTTAACAGACTGTTGGGGCAAGCGGTGGTTAGCGAGCACCTCCGAAGAAAGCCGAGACGGTGCACAAGGGGGCGGGTGGGTGGCTACCACACCACCTCCGGCATCCCAGTGCTGATGTTAACTACACACCGCACCAGGAACTGTACTCATTTGAAGCCGAGTCGACCTATGGGAGGACCAGGACCCATTCAGATATTCGCCACTGTTATTGGTTGAGAGCGGGAATTGAACTCGGGACGCCAGGTTCCAAGCGCAGTGCGCTAACCACTACACCACCGCACCCCATCAGCAGCAAATACACATACAAACACATTAAAACACCTGAATATACATTTAACCTAATGTTTCCCCAGTTGTAACCAAGACAGAGTAACGTCCCAACCACTTTTCATAAATATGTGAATAACAGTGAAGTATAGAGCTGGCCTCTCTAATTACGTAAGTATTTGATTCCTCTGCAGATTATATCTATCAGTTCCATCATTCAAGTAATTGGATAACATGAAAATAGCTGGGGGGGGAAATTATCTCTCCTGTTAGCACGTGTGCCGCTGCACGGGAGGCGATGGACGGAGCTTGATGACGTCAGCTTGATGACGTCATCGGCTTCCCCACCGGCTTCGCACGTGGCGTAGCTTGTGGGGGGGGGGGGAATTTCCATCTTTCACAGGGTGTCCCAGCAACCACCGTTTTTCAAGGGGCCCGAGTAATCGGTTAACTTTATTTTTTATTTTTGAGCCGATTCATCGACGTCACCGTCGCAGCTCGGTACCGAGTCTCCCCCTGCGGCTGCTCACCTGCTTGAGGGCCCTCCTGCAGTGCCGCTGGCTGGCGGAAGCGGCGCGCGCTGGCGGCGCAGTCTTGGCGCCGTGGGCAGGAGGGCTCCGGGCCCGCGAGCCGCCCCTCCGCAACACGAGGCGCAGGGAACCTGCCGCGCATCCGCAGAAGAGCGCGCGCACGCACGCACGGCCGCACTCGTGAGCTCTTGAGCTCTGGGAATCCAGCTAAGCGGAGGTGAGTCACCTCCATAGGGACAACTACTTTTGACTTCCCCCGCAAAGTGATACACATTTTATCGATCCCAGACAGACGATGGGCTGGGTCAACCCAACATAGTAATAGCAATTGATGAGAGAGGCTAGGAGGCAACTTACCTGCGGTGAGCGAGTGACTGGCAGTTTTTGAATTGGTCATTTCTGGATCATCAATGAACCCGACTGCTTTATTTTCAGTTCCATAAAAGTGCAGCGAGGTAGGAACTGGGTGCTCCACCCCGGACCTGACGATAGACCAACCTTTGGCAAAACTTGTGCTTTGCACAGTAGCACAAAGTATGAACACCCCACAGAGAATCGAAGTAGCGGAAACAAACACGTCCACGACCAAGTCACCGTCAATGCGCCTGACCTCATCAGATTTCAGAAGCTTAGAAAGATCGAAGCAGCGTAGCTGGTTGGTGCTTGGATGGGTGACCACCGGGGCTTGCCAGGTGTTGTAGGTGTGGGGGTTTTGAGATGGCCAGGAGTTGGAAGTGCCGAGCGTCATCCCCTCATGTGAGTAGATTTTCTCCGGGGTGTCAAGTTTTCCCCCACATCAGGTTTGCCAATCCTACCGACAAACCTGCTTACCGCATGCCGAATTTCAAAGGTAAGCTTAAGAAAAGCTTAAGAAAAATCGGTTTGCAGTAACAGGGTCTAAATATTGGAAGCCTACCGCTTAAAATCGGTAGGGATGACAAATATGCCACTTGCACATCCATGTTGGTGATATGTGACCGAACCTATCTTGTAGATCTCTCAGCTCTGTGTGTTTTTGTCTAAATTGAACCATTTTGTGGTCAGCCATTGACCAAGGTCAATGTTACAAAAAGAAGACTTGTTATCTCAGTGGGTTCTCACCTGGTGAAATAAAGCCAATCAATCAAACACTAATTCATAGAATTGATTAAACATCCCAAACAGGGGCGGCCCATCCATCTTGGCGAACTAGGGGTGATCGCCTAGGGCACCAAGTTAAGTGGGGGGGGCAAATTCGAGACAAAAAAATACAAATAAAATAACGAAGATGTCATTATTTCAATTTCCGTGCGAGTACAGAGGGAATTTCGATTTAAAGCTTTCGTGACTGCAGGGATTCATATTCTTGGATCTTTCGGTAAAGTCACGTAGAAGGGAAATAATAAAATAAAATGAACATAATAAAATTCTTACGACGTTTCGGCCACAACACAAGCAGCCGTCCTCAGGTGAAGAAGAGCTGTCGGAACGACAGGATGCTGTGGAAAGACATTAGAATGCTGTCTTTCCGACAGCCCTGTTCTTCAGCTGAGGACGGCTGCTTGTGTTGTGGCCGAAACGTCGTGAGAATTGTATTATGTGAAATTTTATTATTATTTTATTATTTCCCTTCTACATGACTTTACCGTAACATCCAAGAATACAGAGGGAATACGAATTATAATTTATTTCTCAACATTTCTGAGAATGTATTGGACGGACAAACCAAATAATTATGCCTATTTTTAAAAAAATACGCTTAAAAAACATTCAATGGAAAATAAGGGCAAAATGTTTCCCAGTTCACCAAAAAACGCCAGCCTCGATCTGCCCTTGGGGTTTGGGGGCGTCAATTGCGTGGTTTGCCCTACGGCGCCAGTTGCTGGCAGCAGCTCGTCTAGAGCTGCCCCTGATCCCAATACAGGACCGTCTTGAAAAATTATTCCCGACACTCTCAGAGGCATTCATGGGCAAATAATCAGAAAAGTGCTTTATTTCCATGTTGTAATCTTACATTTTTTTCCATCAGCATAACCAGTTTATTTTCTATTTTTTTTTTATTCTCCACCCCCCCCCCCCTTGAAAATATACCCCAAAAAAGAAAAATAAGCATTGAAAAAAATCTGCTTCACATCTCAGTGCAATCCTGCCACCGCCCCCTACAGAAGCTACGTCTTACAAGACCCTCACCCCCCCCTGCTGCGCTCAACCAAATGCAACATCAGATGGCAGCAGCGAGCACGCGTCACGCGCAATCCCTTGCGTTTCTTTGCAGTGACGTCACCGAGAGGTCAGTGGCGAGAAAGGGCTTGTAAACATCTGAGGCACGTGTCCACTCCCCGGCCAACGCATGCGCACTAGAGCACTGGGCCCTCACCAGCAGCCGAGCAAAACAAGCGAGAGGGTGACTCACCCCTCCTCCCACTCTCCATTCCCTTGGTGCCTTTTCACACATGAGCCTGCGCGCGTTAATAACAATGCCAATTATTTGTAGTATGATGATGACGCAAAAGACTGTCTTCTCGGGATTGTATAACACGCGATTTTTTTTTCTTTCCCTGAAGCTGCGTACGGCAAAAATTCAGGACCGAGGCCAGGAGGCGATGATTTACACAAGGAGCAGTGGGAGCCTGGAACGGACTGTCCACGCAGCCGAAGCTGATTGACTTGAGACTCTTCTTCAACAGACGCCTCGACCATATCCTAGAATCGATCCGCTACTCACAACCATACGAACCAAATGGGCCGAATGGGCCTCTCCTCTCGCTTGTAATCGTCCTTACCTTCTAAATTTAAAGCGAAAGTTTTGAGTGCGTCTTATAATCCAGTCGGTGTGCGTGTAACAGACTACATTTGTGTAACTTTATTGACACCGACTACTTTCCGGAACATATAATCCGGAGAATACGGTATTTACCCAGAATCACCCGCAAGGAATTGGGAAAAAACTGGGGGAGGCCTCTCCCAAGCGGTGTGAAGTTACACGTAGACTTCAACAACAACAGCACTAAATTTCGATTTAAAGCCTTCGTGACTGCAGGGATTCATCTTCTTGGTTCTTTCGGTAAAGTCACGTAGAATGGAAACAATAAAAATAATAAAATAAAACATAATAAAATAATTCTCACGACGTTTCGGCAACAACGCAAGCAGCCGTCATCAGATGAAGACCAGGTCTGTCGGGGAGACATTCAGACTCTGTCTCCCCGAGAGACCTGGTCTTCACCTGATGACGGCTGCTTGCATTGTGGCCGAAACGTCGTGAGAATTATTTTATTATGTTTTATTTTATTATTTTTATTGTTTCCATTCTACGTGACTTTACCGAAAGAACCAAGAAGATAAACAACAGCATTGACGAAATAAACGAGGAGGTTAGCGGGGGGACGAGTCGTCGATCACCTCGTCTCGCTGGGAGAGTCCTCGCTCCCGCGTGGTGTCGCTGGAAAGGCGTCGAGTCCTGGCCGCCAGGAGACCTTGCAGGAGAGAACTTGCTCCTTCTCGTCAGCAGTGTCTCCCGAGTTCCTTGGCACTCGCTCTTGCCTCTGCGCCTGTGAGACGCAAATTTCTGCAAACAAAAATAATAATAAACCAATACGAATGACAAAACAGTTTGCACTGTTCCGTGGCTTCCGACTTGTGTTCTGTCGATATTGCCAGGTCCTAGCATACCGTGAACTCGTTTGGTATCGTTGTGGAGCATGCAAGTCACAAAATAAATAAGCAGACAAGAAGTCTCCTTCACATATCTGTCCGTCCATATGAAGAAAAATGATAAAGTATTTTTTTTAAACAACCCATCAGCCACACGGCCTTCTGGTAGTGCATAATTTGGGCAGCGTTGGTTTCAACGCGAGCAAAACCCTGGACTGGTCTTGCCATTCAGTGCCTCATGCTCGAGTGAACCAATGGGTGAAGTCTGTCTTAAACTTTCCGCTTCCTTTTCGCATCTCTTCATATCCTCATCATATCATCCTTCCCTTCAACTCAATCAACATAATCATCTTCCTCTTGCTTAATCACACGTAATGCATACATGGTGTTGGCAAAGACACCCATCCTTGGCACACTGCAAAGACACGCAGCAGTGTGTGCCAAGGATGCACTAGTTCAAAGTGATTCTTTACTCAAATGACCATTGAGGCAGCGCTAATATCCCATTTACAGCCCTCAGCCGGGAGTGAAAATTCCAGGTTCCTATTGCGGGCGGCGAGTCCATCCAAAAGACGTAAAGTGTTACGTACCAACATAATGCAACATACTATCATGACGTGTATCAGGTGATGTCAGTACATCACACACCCAAAATGCGAAGGAAACTACTGTAGCGTTGTGGTCATCACACATACACACACACGGTATGACCTGGAAGAAAATTACATAAAGCAACTTGCCTTCAGTTTGTAGACTCCGGGTCTGCCTGGGAGTTTGTAGAAAATGCCACCCAGGGTTCGAGAGTTGGAGTAAAGCATTGCACTCAACGTATTCAGAGATGACTGGGAATTTCCACTGGAATGTTCCGAGCAAAAGGCAACAACAACAACGGTGAGACGTTAAAATCAGAGCAGGGCAAAGGTTACGCAACGCTCGCAAAGACAATACCATTTCCCGTCTCCCCACGTAGGCGTTCACCTTCCCTCCTCGGCCACACTCACCTGGTCTGCGTTGATAGCTTGACACGTAAACGTTCTATAGGGAGGATTTTAGCAGGTTAACCGTTTTCGAGGAAGCCTAACAGCAATACGTGAGCTTCTGTCATTCTGTACTTCCTGCACATTCACGAACCCGCACTGACCAGCCTGGTGAAGTACGGTCAAACAAGCCTCGCCGCTAGCGCGGCGTGGGCAGTCCTTCGCCCCCGAAGTGGATTGACACACAGGCTGCACACGTGTGTGCACGTGTGTATGCACGTGTGCAGTGCGAGCACTCGGACGGCTTTACAAAGGAGCAATGACACATTAGCTTCACTGTGGCGCATTTAGCTCCGCAATGTAAGCACCCTGGGACCTTCTGTGTATTTGCAACGTTTGTGTGAGACTAATTAAATCAAGCCTGCCAAACAATCTGCTTAGCGAGGAATGCGGTCAACAACAAATGCAGAATAGTAACAAGTGACCAGGTTTTATTTTATCATGAAACTGACTTGAGGTCATCATTCGTTCTAGGAAAAGTTAACAAGACGTGAAAGTCCAGTGGATTCCTCCTTGCAAATGTGAATGCTAAGAACAAGCCACATACCTGATGTCCTTGAGCTTTTCCTTGAGGATGACTTTGAGGATGTCATTCCTGCTCATCGGTGTGTTGTGGTGGCTCTCCAGGACCTGCAGCGAGAAAATGAGAGTATAACCCACCCCCCCTCTGCACTTCCACCTCCTCCTTCCAACCGTGAACTTCTCTCATCGATTCCTCCGCCTATGCCGAGGAATCGGTCTATCACACTTTGACCGCTTCATCTCATTCACAATGCGTTAAAAGCACCTTACAACCGGTCAAAACACCTCTCCTTTCTGGCTTCTTTCTGAGCACTGCTCGACTTTGGAATTCCCTCCCATCGTTTTTTTCCCCAAGGTCTCGTGTGATAACCTCGCTCAATTCCGGAAATGAATAAAATGCTCTATTTGTTATGACGCTCACAGTTGCCCCTAGTTGCTTGCCGTTTGGTATTTTGGTGCACCTTTGGGCCTGTGCTCAGCGAGATTAAAAACAAAAATCCCACAACAACAACAAACTGCTTCCCAGAAGAAAAAAAACACAAGCGGCTGGGCACCTTGCCCAGCCAACAGTGCATGGCCACTCACTCCACTGTAAAAGCAGCCTAACAAGCCACCGCACACACAAATCACGTCAGCTGGCCAGCCGACAGCACTCATTCGCCGTCACCTTTAAACGGCCAATCGGGGTGCGTAGTCGAGTTTTAGAGGAGAATTGGGCCAGGTGGCTCAGCGGTCGGGACGAGCGGTCTACGATCTGAAAGGTTTGCGAATTCAAAATCCTGCTTGGGAGGTTCATCCAGCCCATCATCCCCCTCTGGGGTTGATAGAAAGTAAGATCCACTTTATGGGGAAGTTAACAGTGAAAAAACTCACTACCGCCACAGGAATGAGGAATTTCCACCACTGGATCCATGGGCTGTAAACGGAAAATGAACACCGCTTCAATGCTCATTTGAGCAAGAAATCACTGACTTAAAACTAAAAACTATTTTTATTTTACCAAGGCCCACTGAGCTCTTTTTCAGAAACAACAAATGATAGCTTAACGAAGTGGCTTTTCGCGTGGAAATGTATCGTAGCCAAATACTCTAAAGGCATGTTTCTAAATGTGGAGGGAAAAACCAGAGGGCCCAGAGAAAAATCCACACGTCCACGGGGAGAACATGCAAACTCCAATTATATAGGAGTCGGAAGTCGGGATCGAACCCACGACCTCCTGTATACCAGGCGAGGTAGTTAACATTTCACCACCGTGGAACCCTTTATGACCATTCCACTGCCAATCGGGGGGGGGGGGGGGAGAACCTAGAATTGTTTTTTTTATCGGAGTGCGAAAAAAAGCACAGCAATGACCATGTAAAAAAATGTTAATCGATAGTTTCCGCTTTGTGGGGAGAGGCGGCAGCTGTTGTGCCGATTCTGATGGCGGTGCCGTTTTCAGCGAGCGAGCGAGGAAACGCGTTCACGAAGCCAACATATCTGATCAGAGGAACGCACGAGAAAACCAAATTCTTGATCAGCAGCGGTCACAGCGAGAAGAGGGCTTGGAGCGCCGAGGTTTCTGAGTGCGTAATCGCAAGCACTCCACCCGTCCGGTTATCAACAGCTGCCAGTGTTCACGTACGGGGTTTACACACACGCGTGTGTACATGCGTGTGTACGCGCGCGCACACGCCAAATAAGCACAGAAATCGAAAACACAAGAGAGCATGTGTGTGTGTACAAGTGGGGGGGACACGTACACACACCGGTGTGTGTGTACCATATTACTCAATCGCGATGTACATAGCAATAGTTGCCCCCTGCTGCGAATAAGCTTGGCACCCCCACCCCCTCGAAATCATGAGACTCGGGGCTTCCTTGGGTGGTAAGTAAACAAGCCTAGTGATAATGAGCGCCATGGAAACATGGGGAACAAACGAATTGTGTGTGTGTGTACATAAGTACACACGACAGACCGAGTCTGTACACGTGGACACACACGCCTTTGTGTACACATGCGTAAACGAGTGCACGTGTCGTACCTGTCAACCCATACGGTTTACCGCCCCCCCCCCCCCCCTGTTATGGGTTGACAGGTATGACAGGCATTCAGTTCGTTTAGCGATTATTTATGCGCACGTGGACACGTAAGCGAGTACACATTGTGTGTACACACAGCCACGACTACACACCGACACACATGTACACAAAAACAAAGGTCCCCCCTATAGCCTGAACAGACTGTTGGGGCAAGTGCTGCTAGCGAGCAGCACCTATGAAGGTCAGCACCACGCAAGGCCGCCTTCGTTTCCCTAGTGGCGATGTTTACTACAAACCGCACCAGGTACTCATTTGAGGCTGAGTCGACCTAGGGGAGGCCCAGGACCGGTTCTGATAATCGTCACACTGATATTGGCCGTGAGCGCGAATCGAACTCTGGGACCCCAGGTTCTTAGCGTAGCGCTAACCTCTACACTACCGCTACCCACAGTACGCACGCACACACTAAACACACGCGTGTGTGAACATGACCACGCACGTGCGTACACCTCGGCACACGTGCACACGCAAGGGTCACGTGGGTACACACAAGGGTCACGTGGGTCCCCACTGACTCACCAGCGCCGCACGTGTACACACGCACACACACTCAGCGCGCGTCTGTACACAGAGACACGTGTATGCACATCGGCACACTGCACACACGTGAACACACAAGGCACACACGTGAACACACAAGGCACACACGTGGACACACACAAGGCACACACGTTGAGTTTACACACACACACACACCGACATCACGCGCGGTACACGTGTGCACATGCAAACACTCTGAAGCACGCGAGTGTAAAACATTGACCAGACCAGCAACACACACATGTGCACATGCATGTCTGCGTGTGTGTGTGTAGCTGTTAGCGATACGCTGCCCTACAAACCAGGAGACCCGAGTTCAATTCCCCAACACCAGTGTGACGATTATCTCGAACCGATCGTGGGCATCCCCTAGGTCGACTCGGCCTCAAATGAGTACCTGGTGCGGTGCGTAGTAAACATCGCCACCGGGGAGACAAAGGCGGCCGGGCGTGGTGCTGTCCACCCACCGCCCTCGTGTGTCGTGCCGGGCTCCAATAGGGGATACTCGCTAACGGCACTTGCCCTACAGTCTGTTACAGGCTATACGAAGGGATCTTTGTCTTTGTTTACACACACACGCACATCAACACGTGTGCATGTGTACACACACGCACGTGTTGATGTGTGTACGTTCACACCACACACGCACACCACGTGGTAGTGGTTTATGTGTTTTCTTTCACACACACACACGTGTCAATGGGTGTGTCGCTCACACTGCGTATGTGTTTTCTTCACACACACACGTGTCAATGTGTTATGGTACGGTATCACACACCAGTGGCGTATTGTTTTTCCCTTTCACACACACACAACGTGTCAATGTGTTGATGTGTACGCGTATACACACACACACGTGCGTATGTGTTTTCTTTCACACACACACGTGTCAATGTGTTGATGTGTACGCGTATACTCACACACACACACACGTGTGTGAGTATACACGTGTATATACTCGCACACACGTGTTACGCATGGAGTACACACACACACAGAGTGGTGGTGGTGGCACACAGAAAGAGAGAGAGTTGGAACACGCGAGAGACATCTGGTGGCTCCACGCCGCGCAGGCGACACAAACAACAAGGCCGAGGCGGCACCGTCTCTCTCACCCGCGCTGCGCCATCTCTTCCCCATCAACCCGGGACCCCCCCCCCCAACACCCCTCAACAGCCCCCCTCGACTCCCCCCTTCATCACAGGGATACCCCCCTTCCCCACTCACCCCCAACCCCCTCGCCTCCCCTGTCAGGTTGCCGTGGTCCCGTTTAACTTCACGTGGGTCTCCATCCTACAGCCCCCGGGACCCCAACAAACCTCTCTCCAAAGGGGGTCACTTCACCACGGGCCCCCCCCCCCCTTTTTACGCAGGGGATTACTCCACGGGGTTCGCTCTACAGGGGTCAACTTCACCGGGTTCCTCAATATCTCTGACCCCGGTGATCCCATCGTCTTGGTGGTGGGGGGGGGGCAGGGAATAACTCCACAGGGCCCCCCCCCCCAGACAGCAGCGATAATTCCGGGGGTCCCTCTACAGCCGAGACTCCCCCCCCCCCACGACCCCAGAGATCCCCTTCACCACGGAGATCCCCTCCAAGGGGTTCCGTACTACAGAGGGGCAAGGGGCAGGGGGTCCCCTTTAACAGGGGTCCCCATCGATGGGCCTCTCTCTCCCCGGGGTCAGCCTACCCAACTTTTGCGCCACACGTACCACCCGGGCGGCCTCCAGCCAGGTGCGGCCCGTCCTCCGCGGCGACTCCCTCATTCCTCCTCGTCGACCTCCTTGTCGTCCTTCTCCTCCTCTTCCTCCTCCTCTTCCTCCTCTTCGTCCTCGTCTCAGCGCAGGGCCCGGGCCGCCCAGGCCGCGCCGTCCGCCAGGGACGAGGGCCCGGGCCGCATCATCATGGCGGGGAGACCCGCGCGCGATGCCACTCGGAGCCAACGCCGCGGCTGCTGCTGCTGATGCTGCGTGCCGACCCCTCCTCCTCCTCCTGCTCCTCCTGCTGCTCTACAACCCCTCCCCCTCCTCCCCCCTACAACTCCTCCACCACAACAACTCCTCCTCCTCTACAACTCCTCCTCCTCTACAACCCCTCCCCCTCCTGCTCCTCTACAACTCCTCCTCCCCTACAACTCCTCCACCACAACAACTCCTCCTCCTCTACAACTCCTCCTCCTCTACAACCCCTCCCCCTCCTGCTCCTCTACAACTCCTCCTCCCCTACAACTCCTCCACCACAACAACTCCTCCACCCCTACAACTCCTCCTCCTCTACAACCCCTCCCCCTCCTGCTCCTCTACAACTCCTCCTCCTCCTCCCCTACAACTCCTCCACCACAACAACTCCTCCTCCCCTACAACTCCTCCTCCCCTACAACCCCTCCCCCTCCTGCTCCTCTACAACTCCTCCTCCCCTACAACTCCTCCTCCTCTACAACCCCTCCCCCTCCTGCTCCTCTACAACTCCTCCTCCTCCTCCCCTACAACTCCTCCACCACAACAACTCCTCCTCCCCTACAACTCCTCCTCCCCTACAACCCCTCCCCCTCCTGCTCCTCTACAACCCCTCCTCCCCTACAACTCCTCCACCACAACAACTCCTCCTCCACAAGCCCTCCTCCTCCACAGTGACTCATCCTCTACAACGACTCCTCCTCTAAAACCCCTCCCCTACAACCCATCCTCCTCCTCCCCTACAACTCCTCCACCACAACAACCCCTCCCCTCCTCCTCCCCTACAATTCCTCCTCCTCCTCTCCAAAACCCTCCTCCTCTATAACTCCTCCTCCTCTACAACTCCTCCTCCTCCACCCGTACAACTCCCCCCTCCTCTCCAAACCCTCCTCCTCTACAACTCCTCCTCCTCTACAACTCCTCCTCCTCTACAACTCCTCCTCCCCTACAACTCCTCCACCACAACAACCCCCTCCTCCTCCTCCTCTACAACCCCTCCTCCTCCTCTTCTCCAAACCCCTCCTCCCCTACAGTGACTCATCCTCTACAACAACGACTCCTCCTGCTGCTGGATCACTCCTCCCGATCCTCCACAACCCCTCCTCCTCCTCTACAACCCCTCCTCCTCCTCGACAATGACTCATCATCCTCCAAACCGAAACACTGAATCACATGCGCAATTTATAAAAACAAAAACGCAACTGAACGCGTTCGCCAATAACATGGCCTTAAAAGACAACGCGGTAATAGGCGACGTTTTGGGCAGTGGCCCTTCAGTTTTTCAGTTTCATTTATTTGGTATAGCCCTGTGAGCCATTCGGCTCTTGAATCGGGTGCAACCGCAACAAACAAAAACATGAAACAAAAACATGAACAAGAAAACATATTAAAGTGACTATGTGCAAACAGAAAATCCAGGAAAAGACAGCAACATATTCCACAAAAACCATCGTACACCAACGCTGTGTGCAAAAATCCCAGTGGGATGCAAGTCAAACAACAACAGCCACAAGACAACTTAGATTAAGGCCATCAGTCTAACTCCGTACTACAATAAACAAACATGGCCAAACCAAAAAACGTTTTCGAAATCACCAAAATAAAGCCATAAAAGCAATGTAACAGTGATCATAGGAACTGTGATCAGAATTTTCACAATAAACAACATAAACAACATGTACCACCAAACCCTGCAGCCAAGCTGGCTGCATGAGTCACTCCACAACAGCAGCAGGAGCATCAGTCGGAGTATCAAAAATTTTCAATGCACCTTTAAGATCAGCACACTAAATCAAAACACAGATCATACTTTGCAGCGATCATCCGGAGCGAAACATTTTATTTTAGGCCACTGAATCGCAGTGGCAGCTAGGGGTGTACAACTCCTCTAGAGCAGTTTTAAGTGAAGATCTCATAGGTAGTGATTCAAGTTGCAGTTTATTGGCAATAGCATTCCAGACCCTGGGGGCATCAATAGCACAGGCCTTTCCTCCAGTATGTGTACGGCAATAGGGAATGTGAAGCTGGTAAATGAGCGAAGACCTTAGGTCAAATTTGTTCTTTGAAACAGAGAGGAGATCCAGCAGGTAATCTGCGGATTTTTTTGTAAGTACATCATGAGTAAACAAGATCTGGTGCACTAGCCGTCGAACATTAAGATATGTTAAGTTTGACCCAATGTAGAGATCACAGCGGTGAGTCCTATATGGGCAGTTCAATGCAAATCTTAAGGCCGAGTGATAAATTGAGTGAAGCTTTTTCAGTACAGTACTTGGGGCTGATTTATACACGATGTCACAGTAATCAAGTAGAGGCAGTATGGTAGCTTTTATCAATTCCAAACGGAACATAGGGGGGAAGCAGTGCTTGTGCCGATACAGAAAACCAATTTTTATTTTTGTCTTTTTACCAATATAATCACTGTGATCTTCAAAATTCAGTTTTGAAACCTTCTTTCACCACCAACGCCTCCCTCTCCAAAATTATTCCTCTTTCACTATGACTCATCATCATCTTCCACAACTCCATCCTCAATGACTCATCATGCTGCACGACTTCGCCTCTGCCACTTATGTCTAAACCAAGTCCCCCCCTCCTCTTTCACGATAATTTTTCCTCCAATGCAACGACTCCTCCTCCTTCTCATCCTCCACTCTGACCCCTCCAGATCATCTCAGCTCCGCCTCACTCTCCACCACTCCTCCTCCAGGATGAATCATCCTCCTTGTGTGTGCGTCCACCCGATCCAAAAGCTCCTTCTTATACTCAACTCCAACTTCTACACAATGATTCATGCCCCCCGCTCATCCTCAAACCACGACTCCACCTCTACAATGACCCATCTCTCCCGGTGTCTGCTCCTCCACGGATAAATACATTTATTTTACGCATCCCAACACGTTCGTCAAACAAGTGGCCTTGCAAGAACAATATCAACACATCCAAGGTCCGTTGCATATTATCTGTATATATTTCCCTATAAGACCGGTATTGTGAACAAACGTGTTGACTTTTTGTCGTCACAGTATTAGTGCCTGTGCACCACTGCCCAAGCAGCAGCAGAAGCAACAGCATCACCACATCATTGGTCCCGGTTAAAGTAGCCCAAAGTTGTCACAACCACATTAGAACCAAACAACGTTGCCCTCCACACCCACCCACACTACCACAACCACCACCTCCCCGGCGTTAGCACGCCAACTTGTGACTCTGCTGAATTTATTTTGGTGATTTCGAAAAGTTTTTCGGTTTGGCCATGTTTGTTTGTTGTAGTACGGAGTAAGACTGATGGCCTTAATCTAAGTTGTCTTGCTGTTGTTGTTGTTGTTTGACTTGCATCCCACTGGGATTTTTGCACACAGCGTTGGTGTACGGTGTTTTTTCTGCAATATTTTGTTGTTTTTTCTTGGATTTTCTGTTTGCACATAGTCACTTTAAGATGTTTTCTTGTTCATGTTTATTGTTTGTTGCGGTTGCACCCGATTCAAGAGCCCAATGGCTCACAGGGCTTAGGGCTATACCAAATAAATGAACTTGAATTTGTTTGTGTATTTTGCTATGTTTGCGACTGCTCGCCGGAGCCCCATTGGCTCACGCGAGGAGGGGGAGGAGCTATGAGCGCCGTGCTGATTGGTCCGTAGGAGGGGCACCTCCCCCTTTGGGGAGGAGCGATGCGCGCCAGAGGCTCCGAGTCCCCGCCCCCCTAGCAACGGCCCCCTAGCAACGCGCCCTGCTTAAGTGGCGAGGGCGGCAATGTGGTGATCGTGGTGATCGTGGGGGGCCGAGAAGTCGTGTGGACGCCGCTGTGTCGACTGTTCCTCGTCCTCGACTACTTGGACTACTTGGGGGCGAGGTGATCGCCGGCAGACTTCACGGCGACCGACTTTAGCGAGGAGGCGCTTTTACCTCAGCGACGCCGTCGAGTCGACGACGCCGTGACGACAAAACGCGACGATTTTCGCGGGAGCCGACGACTTGGTGACGTGCAGTTGACAGCCCCCCCCCCCAACACCACCCCCCACCACCCCCCCACCACCATCCCCCCACCCCCCAACACCACCCCCCCACCACCACCCCCCCCAACACCCCCACCACCACCCCCCAACACCACCCCCCAACACCACCCCCCCACCACCCCCCCCACCACCACCACCACCACCCCCCCAACACCACCCCCCAACACCACCACCCCCCACCACCACCCCCCCACCACCACCCACACCCCACCACCAACACCACCCCCACCACCCCCCCACCACCACCCCACCACCACCCCCATCAGGTACTCGTACTGTACGCACGCACGTTGAACTTCTTTCGCACCCTACGTAGACAGCCGTGCTCAACCTCGGAGGTGCGGTGTGGGACGAAGGGATTTATTATTTTACAAGACGGGTATTTGATGCGTTGTAAAGTTACAGCCGCCGCAAGCGAACGTATTCGAAGGATTAGGGGCCGTCCATAAATGACGTCACGCACCTAGGGGGGGGGGGGGGTCGGACATTTGTGATGATATGTGACGTCACACCAAAATGCGCAACTTTAAATAAATAGATAAATAGACAACACGTAATTAAATAGACTTTTTAATAAATGTTTTCTCCAACATCAGAGTGCAGCGCCACATTAAATACGCAGTACAATGACAATAGTTTAAAGCGATTTGAAGCATGTTTTATTTTTTTTGGGGGGGCAGAGATTTGTGACGTCATATTTTAGGGGGGTTCAAAAAGCGTCCAAAATCGCGTGACGTCATTTATGGACGGCCCCTATCTTATTCTTGAGCGATGTGTGTTTGCCCTATCAAAACGTCAGGTCGGTCTTCACTCCGTAAGAGAGGCCCCTTCTCCTCTGCTGCCTTCCTTGTTCCTTCAACACCACCATCAACACCACCATCAACTCCACCTTCAACTCCATCTCAACTCCATCTCAACTCCACCCTCAACTCCATCTCAACCCTATAACTCCATCCTCATCTCTATCTCAATTCCACCTTCAACCCCATCTCAACCCTCAACTCCACCCTCAACTCCATCTCAACTGTATCTCAACTCCACCCTCAACTCCATCTCACCTCCACCCTTAACTTCACCATCAATGCCATCCGTGCTGCCAACTCCCTGCCTCGTTCAGGGCCCACTCATCTGCAGGTGAATTTGTACCTTCACAAATAAATAACAAGTCCTGTATTGTGCAGGATTTGCCTCCTTTCTTTCCATGATGCACCTGTTTTAATTTAAAAAAATATATACTTATTTAAAATACAGGAGCCAGGTTGTACGGTATATACAAAACTAAGCCTTCTGCACAAAAGCATGGATTAAACATTAATGTTCAGTGAATGAAAGCTCACGTACAATGTAGCGGAGAAACTCAACACATTTGGCAATAACGCCGCCTTGAAAAAGTTAATAAGCGATGTTTTTTTGGGCAATGTAGAGCGAACTCTCTGTGCTGTGAAGGACCAATGCCCGAAACGTCGCCTATTCTATGTTTTCTTCTTCAGGCAATGTTATTGACGAATGTGTTGCTATTTGTGCTCGTGCATGACTGCCAATTGCAGTACAGTATCGCCAAATACTGTAATTAACCGTCATTGGGCAATGCTGAAAAATAACCCCGCAAACGACTCTATGGGGATTGCAGTGAACGTAGCAACATCGCCCCCTGCTGCGAAAACGAAACAGAACCCCTCCTATAAGAGTTGAGCCTCAAGCCAGGAATTTTCAGGGTAAACAAGTGTAATAATACTGTCATACTAAATAATATACAGTCTCGAGATGCGGCTGAATTTGGACACTTTATGAACATAAAATAATACCGTACCTTTGTGCGAGATATTTGATTATATCTGGCACATTTCGGATGACTTAGTCACAGGCGTTGTTACATCTTGTGACAGATGCCATCACTATACTCTGATGTTGTTATTGTTGTGCGCTTTTCCTCCCCACAGATTCTGCGGTGATGCCAGATACGGAGCACTCAGCCCTCACCGCAAGATGGGCTGGGCACCAGCAGACCGCAGGTTTGGCCAGGGTGCACCACTCTGTGTGATTAACTCCGTACGATGATGTATGTGGGACGCTGCGTTCACTTGACTCGTGGCTGCCCTTTTATCGTAAAAGCAGAGAGCGCCGATCAAGACTGTTGGCCCTCGACAAGATAAGGGCTATGCATCTAGAGATGTGATCACTGAATGTGATGGCAAAACTCTATCGAAATCAGCGCTTAATTTCAAGACAGTCTGTGGGTCGGCGAACCAAGAAACATATTATCACGCCCCAGGACAACACATCCTGTAAACCTCTCGCTACATCCGTGGCTGCCAGTCACATGCGTACTCCAATCTACCAGTGCCTCTACAGAGTATGTATTTTGCAGTTGTGTTGCATAAATCTCCTATGTGTTTTTGCGTTGTGTCGCATGCCGTTCGGCATATTCGACTCTTCACTCCGCGTTTTTCGCACCTTTACAACCACAAAAAGTCGAGCAGTAGAATCTTAATTCTATGGGGAGAAAAAATAAATATCTAATTTCCCATGTGTGCCGCTGGATGGGAGATGATAGGCGGGGCTTGGTAACGTTATTGGCATCATACGGGATGTCACGCTGGGGGTGGCTTGTAGGGGGTTTCCCTCCTTCTGGAGGCAAACTGATTTGGGGCAAAATAAGTCGTTTACAATTTTTAGTCGATGAGCCTACTTAATAGATTAATCGCCTCAGCTCTAATGCTGCTCCTGCTTCCCCTTCTCATGCGGTGGTCCCCGTTGCGCATACGCGTGTGCAGGCGAGCCAGAGAGGGGCCTGCACACCGACCCACAGCCAGAAGCTGTGCAGGAGGCTCTACCCGAGCCTGAGCCATCTCCTCTCGCCAAGAAAGTGCTGCAACTCATCCAGCATCTGCAGATCAAGGTACAGATGGGTGGTCTCAGCAGGTGCCCTTCACAATCAGCATCATAGGCCATGGTCAATCCAATGCTGGATGAAAGCCTCCCAAAAGCTGCCACCACCTCTCGCGATCTACCGATGTAATAATCCAACTAAAACGTGCGCATGAACCGATTTCATCACTGCATCTCCTCCAGCGTCCCATTCCTTCGTCGCTACTCCATTATTATTCTTGACCATCGGCCAGTTGAATGAGAAATAATAATTATGATAATAGTTCACAGCTGTTTGCCAATCTACTGCTGAAGGATTTCCTATGCCTTGTCAGTTATGGGGGTTTCTATCATACTTCACCATGCTGGTCAGTGTGGGTTGGTGAAGGGGGTCTGGCCTAGGTACCAGGTCAGTATTACTCGCCACAAATGTGAGAAGATTGTGACAGTTTTACACAATAAACATAACAGCCCTCATGCTGAATGTGTCTTTTTCACGTATGTGCTTCACAGACCTCCAAAAACATCTCATCCGACTCTCGATGTCCAATTATGCCCAGGTATATAATTACTTTCGTCTATAGATTTGCCTTTACATCATAAAAACCCATACGCATACATTACGCGGTGATGTTAATCGGAGGTGCGGGGGAAGGACAATAAACTAGTGATGCTTCGTACGTATAAATTAAGATGTCACAAAAAATAGAAACACATGTGCATCTGAACGAAGAGGGTTTCTATATTCTCATATTTATGTTTCAGACGTAATCGTGAAGGTGAACAACACAATGTTTTGGACCAAATGGACCTTCGTGTAGAAGGCAAAGAGATGTACGCAAAAGGTATGTTCGTTGCAGCACTCACGATTGCCAAGGGCTTTTGCTTGCCAGCTGAACTACAGTTAAAATCACATGCTACAATTGAACTAAACGAGAGAGAGAGACGGGGAGAGGTAAATGCAGTGGTAGAAGACAGACGGAGAGAGAGATATATGAGATAAAGAGACGCAATGAGAGACGTGATTTTGGTAGGGTGATTTTTTCATAGAATTTACAGCCGAGGTGCAGAAAAAACGACAATTCAAAGGTTGCTAAACAATAGAGTTTCTGCTTTATCAACACACATACGGGTGCTTTTATGCATTGAAACCAATAAACAGAAGTGCAAATATCACTGCGGGCATGTTTAATTATTACTTTAGAGTACAACATTATTGTTTTACCTACAGATAGTTTTCTGCAATTCTGAAAGAAACAGGCTGTTCCAAGACCATTTGCATATGTGCTCCCTCCCCCCACCTCTCCGACTCGGCAAATAGCCAGTGGAAAACCACCTGTGCCATGCTGGCCCCCTTGCTGTCTTGGCACAGACGCGCACTTAGAAAGGGGTAGTGATAGTCTCACCCCGCTGTCTTTACGAAACGCTCGAGGCTTCTTGCCCAAGTGAATGCTGCACGCGTGTTTTACTCATCACGTGCTTAGCGGGAGCACCGCGTAGAGTGCGTTACAGTGGTAATCTCTTGTGAGGCACTTGAACGGATGGCTGCTCGCTTAAAGGGAATATGTCCTTGACACTTCAAGTGACCCTTTGCTAATTGGCATCGTTACTCTGTTATTATTATTATTACCTGGGGAAGGAAATGTCCATTCGAACCTGATAAGTGATGGGTTTTGTCAACACTTGTTTTTTTAGACGTGGAATGTTTTCTTCAATAGCCCCGTGCTGTTGCTACATTGAGCGGCTATGTCTGTATCGACAGCGGGTTTATTGGCCACCGGTGTTTTCGTAAAAAATGAGAAACGCTTTGTAGTTCAGGCAATATTGACATGAGTTCTCTAGTTGCTTTCGCCAGGGAGACGCTATCGATTTACTGATTCCTGCGGCGTTTATACCATGCAAAAATAATGTACAGCCCTTTGTTAATCCACTGCTAGACGAAAGCTTCACCGTGTCGTGTCGGTGGGGGGTTGTTTGATCGTACTTCACCGCGCCGATCAGTGCGGGTTAGTGAAGGTGGGAGGGAAGGTACCCAGGACCGGTTGGGATATCCCTCGCCACCACGGACGTTAGCCACGTGCGGGATTCAAACTCGGGTTCGGTGGGTTCATAGCGCACTGCGTTAACCGCCTTTCGCCAGAAATGTATCCTGGACTCGTTTGTAGCTACGCTTCCTATGATGGTATCCTATACGATAGTGTTTTTTGATTTAATATAATTTATACATTTTCACTCAATGTCATTTTATATTTACCGATTATGTGTGCTTGGTTCCTGTTGATATAATTAATCTAAGGTAATGCAATCTTTCATCCGCATTATTTAACAAATTGTTGTTGACATACAGCTTCGAGAGATGCTTCTCGCATTAAAACCCAACAACAATCCAAATTATTATTATTATCTATTATGATGAAGTAAAAAAAATTGTCTACCTGAAAAAAACCCATTTCCTGAATCAATTGTATTAACACATCTTAAATAAGTTCTATAAAAACACATAACAAAAAGCCAAGACTAATAGGCTCCACGACTGTTAAGGCTCCACGATCTCCCGCTCTTCTTGAATAATAACCCATTCATATTTAAGCTGGAGTTTAGCATTATAGTAATTATTTTTCAATTAACAATGCTGCCTTATCTTAATTTTGTAACCACTGTTTAACAATCATTTGATTGCAAACACGTCACTGCCATTGCGTAACCAATAGCACCGTATGCATTAGTCTGGCAGCAGTTAAGTGGCATTTACAGCTAAAAAAGAGAGTTGTTTAACACAATAATGGCATCGGTGAAGCAACCTTCCATCAGCCTCCGGACGAGGTGAATGTCGCTTCTCTGTCGTGGCGGTGGTCGTCTGGAATTCACTTCCTCCTCTGTCACCGTGCCGCACATTGGCATTGACCTTTCATCGTTCTATCGTTAAGACTTCTCTCTGTCTTTTATTTTATGAATTCTCCCGCGCCTCCGAATGCCCTTTTTGGGTTCAACGTGTGCGCGTCACAAACGTAATAACTAACGGGTGAAATGGTGAACCGTTAGCTACGCGGCGTTGATGCTCCCATGCGAGTCCTGGAGAGGTGTCGAGAGAATGGGTGGCGGTGGAGTCGAAGACTTGAACGCGTGGCGCGTGTTTGGTCTCCCGGCCGTGTTGAGTGAAGGCGACGGAGCCGGCACGGAGCCCTGCGGCCACGCTCGCCTGCGTCTGGACGAGGCGGCCGCGCTGCTGAGCTCCATGGAGTGCGAGCTGCGCCGGCTGGAGCGCTCGCTGGAGCAGCAGAGCAGGCGCTGCCGCCGGCTGGGCCTCTCCGTCGAGCAGCTGGTGCTCGCGAGCCTACGTGGCGCTCCGGCTGATGTGCAGAAAGGTGACGTCGCTGGGGCGGACATCAGAATCAGAATATTTATACTGGAGGAATCTGATGAGCTATAAAGCTCTTTTTCACAGATGTTCATGACGACCCCGACACCCACAAGTAGGGAGGGAGTGTCACAAAAATTGCGTGATCCACCAAACCTCACTGCCTCCACACAGCGCGAGTTTACAGGCACGCACACAGCCACCAGCTGGCGCGCTCAGCCACAGGGAGCGCGTGAGATGCGAACGGTTGCGCTCCGCGCAGTGCACGAGCGGTGCACGAGCGACTAACGGTTCCGCGTCTCGCGCAGAGCACGACCGGAGCGCCCCCGAGCTGTGCGAGCTGCTCCCTCGGCTCCAGCAGGCGGAACGAGAGGCGCGGACGTGGCGCGACGCGGTCGCTCGTGCCGCCGATCGCGGCGGCCGCTTCCGCGACGAGCTGGAGGCCGTGCGGAGGCAGTGTCCGCTCGTCGAGGGCAAGATGCGTGCAGAGGCCGCGGCCGTGGGAGACGTTCACCATTCGCAGGCGCAGGTGACATCTTCTGTCGTGCGTCACGAAACGGGGGGCCGGATTAACCCAAGCGGCTTCGGGCTTGGGAGGCGCCAAGTTGTTTTTCCACTGCAGAAACTGAACCGAGCTGTGCCACTGGCGTCGATTCGCGTGTCGGGGACTCGGTGATGCTGTGTCCTCACAGTGTACGGACTGGCATCGCACGCATTACTAGCCACGCCCCCAGCCCTGCCTGGCCCAAGTTAGATTCAGGTGTCTTGTGAGGCAGCACATTATGGTTTGGTTGTGGCTCGGCACGGCAAATAGCCGGTAGAAAATCACCCTGGCCGTGAGTGCCCCCCTGCACTGGCTCGGCTCAGGCGGTGTGCCAGTGGAAAAAAACCTATAAACTATTTCTATTTTACCAGATAAGGTCCACTGAGCTATATAGCTCATTTTCAGAAACCACCAGGCCACAAATGATAGCTCAACGAAGTGGCTTATCACGTGTAAATTTATAGCAGCCAAATACTCTTAAACACATGTTTATAAATGTGGAGGGGAAAACCAGAGGACCCGGAGAAAAATCCATGTGACCACAGGGAGATAAACATGCAAACGATCCCGTCAAGGTCGGGATCGAGCCCACGACCTCCTGTATACCAGGCGAGGTAGTTCACATCTCGCGAGCGTGGCAGCCAAAATAAATATCGCTGTCCACTTTACTTCTTCAATGCAATATTGTATTGGCAGGAGCGCATTGAGGTGCTCGCTTTGGCGTCGTTTTAACCACCGGTTCTCTCCACGATCGAGACGCAGGCCTCCGCGGTGCTGAGCTCCGTGCTGGCCCAGCTCCAAAAGACGGAGGCGCGGCACCACGCCGTGTGTCAGGACGCCGATCGCCAGCGACGCTGCATGAGCGAGGAGACCGGCGCTCTGCAGCAAGCGTTGAGAGAGCTACAGTTAAGATTGAAAAAAAACGCATCACGCAGCTGGGCGCTCGTTCATTATTTTTTCTTTGGGCCCGTGCCAAGCCCGGGCCCAAAATCCCCAAGGTGTTACGGCTCCGGCAAACTATAACTATTGTCAAAGTTGTAACAGATTTCAATGTAATGTGTTTGTGGAATCAGGTGTGGTTATTGCTGTAAGTGCTTGGGGAAAAGGGACGATGATGGGAGGAGGCAATTCCAAACTCGAGCAGCGAGAGAAGTGTTGTGTGGTGGTTGAACGCAGTGAGGATGAGACGAAAAAGTCGGTTTTATGGTGCTGCTGTGAGCATTCGTGTCACGTAGCAGTGTAATCCTCTGTTAATCCACTGCCAGATGAAGGCCTTTCCGCTCCCTGGTGGTCAGGTGCCGGGGTGGTGAAGGAGTGGGAAACCAAAACCAGTTCGGATATCACTCACCACCGGTAGCAGCAGCCGAGAATCGAACTCGAGTCGCTTGGCTTGTGTTGCAGTGCGCTAATCACTGTGCCACTGCTTCCCACCGCCTTTGAGCATTGTTGTTGTTGAGAAATGTTCCAGTAAACAATGAGGGACCGAATTTCTGGCCACTTAAGAAATGTCTCTTTTCTACACGGGTGGTACCCCGTTATAATGGAACCACGTGTGGAACCGGCGGAAAGTTGACTACCCTTATCAGGGGTGTCTCACTAGACCCAGGTTTAATGGCACAGTGAGCTGGGTCTTTGAAGAAGCACGCGAAGAGATGAACGCATCGCCGCCTATATCTTTTTTATTTGTATCTGCGCAGGTCTCCTAGTCACGTGCAAACATGTATGCATTTACACAGCAGTACACGTGTACAGTATTGACTGTAAACAAAACGAACGAGGATTGTGTGTTTGGCAGCAATGCACCGAACGTATGCAAATGCATATTTGCACTCGTCTCCTAGCCAGATGCAAAAATAAACACATTGCACAGGAGTAATGTTATCGCTGTATGGAGCCGTAAGTCAACACAAGAGAACATGTTCATTTTTCTTAGGTTTTTTCGGTAAAGTCACGTAGGTAAAACATCAAAATTAATAAAAATAAATAAAATAAAACAAAAATCACGACGTTTCGGAGGCAACACAAGTCTCCGTCATCAGGTGGGACCGTCACAGCCGGATTAGCTGCATCAAGTGAGGCAATGATTCAAGATGTAATCCCTTAAAAAGCAAGTTGAGGGGGAAGAGAGGGGGGGGGGGAGCTAATCAGAATGTGGTAGCCAATGAATGGAACGTATCGGGAAGGAGGGGGGGCGGGGCTCAAAGACGGCACGGAGTGCCAACGTACAACGCATCGGGAGGGGGAGGGGGGGGGGCGGGGCCAAAAGGATGCACGACGGCGTGGGCGCTGTTGCTGTTGCACAACGCCAACGCATTGGACAGAGAGGGGGAGGGGAGGCCTGATACACATGATAGAAAAGAACGAAAATGCCCATGTTTATACCAATGCTGGCTGAACAATGAAGAGAGTACTGTTAAACACTGGGGATGTTAACACTCGGTAAAGTAAAGTAAGATAGTGCCTGTCAGATAAGATGGTCCAAAAAAGTGTAATTAAGTCTTTTTTGCGTGGTTGATAACATCTTTCCAATGATTACTAAGTCTGTACCCAGGGGCGGTTTCTTCATTAGGGCGATTGGGCGACGCACCACCAATGTCATTCAACCACAGAGTCACGCTAGCCGTCACTGTGCCTCTGGATATAGTCCAATCAGCGTCATGTCACGTTCTGTGGAGTACCGCCTCTTTTTGGGCGATTTCCCTCCAGCTGAGAATCGCCCCGAGTGGCCCCATAGACTTACATTCAAAGATGTTTTTTTTCGAACGGGGGCGCTGCAATGCATTCTCTATGGCTTCCGGGAGGGCTCGCCCTAACGTGCTTACGTCATCATACGTGCTTACGTCATCATACGTAAGCACGTTTCATCCAACAATATAATTTGTGGCCACCTAGTAGAATCTTTAATAAAATAAACTTGAGTGGTTTGTTTTAATAGTGAGTATAGAAACAAACAAGCTGTATTGTAAGAGTCACTTTATTTTTCATTAATATTAAAGAAGTGAAGTTGCTTTTACATGCTTAAGCTGTTAATTTATCCATTGCATGGGTGGACCTTATCCTTATCAATCATCCAGACATTTGCCCCCCCTGAGAGATTTTACAGGAGCCGCCACTGTTTGTACCCATCATCACGGTTGAAAGATGTTATAAACCACGCAAAAAAGACTTAATTACACTTTTTTGGACCATCTTATCTGACAGGCACTATCTTACTTTACTTTACCGAGTGTTAACATCCCCAGTGTTTAACAGTACTCTCTTCATTGTTCAGCCAGCATTGGTATAAACATGGGCATTTTCGTTCTTTTCTATCATGTGTATCAGGCCTCCCCTCCCCCTCTCTGTCCAATGCGTTGGCGTTGTGCAACAGCAACAGCGCCCACGCCGTCGTGCATCCTTTTGGCCCCGCCCCACCTCCCCCTCCCGATGCGTTGTACGTGGCACTCCGTGCCGTCTTTGAGCCCCGCCCCCCCTCCCTCCCGATACGTTCCATTCATTGGCTACCACATTCTGATTAGCTCCCCCCCCTCTCCTTCCCCTCAAATTGCTTTTTAAGGGATTACATCTTGAATCATTGCCTCACTTGATGCAGCTAATCCGGCTGTGACGGTCCCACCTGATGACGGAGACTTGTGTTGCCTCCGAAACGTCGTGATTTTTGTTTTATTTTATTTATTTTTTATTAATTTTGATGTTTTACCTACGTGACTTTACCGAAAAAACCTAAGAATATGAATCCTTGCAGTCACGAAAGCTTCAAATCTAGAAACATGTTCATTAATAATGGGGGGGGAGGACGTGGGGGGGGGGGGTATAAGCATGGTTGTTCGTTCTGACGAGGGATAATACCGTAATGTCTCCACATCTCTTACATGGACCCTTGTTCACACGCCACCACATTTTATGCCCTCACCTCGTGCCTACTTTGTGTGGGTCGACAGGACGGAGGTTTCGCAGGCGCGGAGTCTGTTCACCGCGTACGATCGGAAAATTGCCGAATCGAAGATAAAAATTGAGGAGATTGAGAAGATTCACAAGGCCATGCAGGAGCAATGTAAGGAGCTGAACGCGGAAGAGGCAGAGCAGCAGATGGAGGTATTCTCGATCTACAAGCCATGTATATATATTTGTTAAACTTCTTTCGCACGGTACGTAGGCCGATCGTGCTTATAGGAGGTGCCGGGGAAGAACACCGACCTAAACGCAAAAAGCAGTTTTAAAGAAATGAGTTTTCAATCTAGATTTAAAAGTGCATAGCTCCAGTGGTTTCCTAATATCGGAAGGAAGAGCGTTCCAGACGGGCCGCAGAAGCGCATCCGAAAGCGCGCGATGCGGTGACCGCCTTTGTTCGATGGCTTATTATCCATGTTTCACCACGGAATCAAAACTCGAGTTGGCGGGTTCATCACGCAGCACGCTAATCGCTGCACGGCCACTATCCCCCTCACTGTGACGACACACGGCCAACAAAATTGCAGGAAATGCAAAAGCCTAGCCGTTGTCTAAGGGTGGCTGATGTTGGGAACCCCAAAGCTTAACCCGAGAATTCAGCGTTTGGTTCTAAGAGACTGATCCTACCACACAGCAAGAAGGGCATGGGCTAGATTCCTGACTCAGGCATCTTTCCGTTTTCCTCCTGTTCTGCATGGGTTTCCTTCTGGGTTCTCCAGCTTCCTTCCCATAGATGAAAAAAAACAACTAAACAATGGTATTGGCCAAACATTCCAATGCTGAGAAATGATATGAAAGTTACTCAGTTGGGATTATACTAAAGCAACGTCACACCCTGCTCCGAAGACTTGACAGGACCCTCCTAAAAAAGAGTCTCGAGACTTTCCCCGGGTAAGCAAGCGTAAAAACGACGACGATATACTTCGGTATACGACTACGTTACAGTTTGGTTTGATGTCGTTAGCCTGTGAATGTTCTCCAAAAAAAATGAAATGCTTCCGAGAACAAACGCTTGTTGGAAAGGATTTTTTCTTCCTCGTTTAACGAAAAAAAAAGTCGGTGGTTGTTTCAAACTTGTAGAAGTGCATTCAGTGGATACGTTCAACTTTTATTTGTTCATCATCTGCACGTGGTTATGCACACAGGTGAAGAAGCTTGAGAATATACTCAGGAAGCAGGAACGCGAGCACAACAAACTTAGTCAAGACTGCAGCGTCCTGCAAGAACAAAAACAGAACCTGGTAAGACTGGCGGATCGTGGCCACTTTCGCACGCGGAAACCGCTTCGATTGTACAGATCGCATCGCTGAAAAGGTCTCGCGGCAGAATTAATACCACGTGGCGATGTTCTGCTAGAGACTTCACCTGGAGATACAAATCAAAGCACTTGAGAACAAAGAGCAGGTGGACACCAAGAAGCTGCATCACCTGCATCAAGAGAACAAGGCTTCCGCTTTGGAACTTAAGAACTTGAGAGGCCAGGCCACCAAAAGGTACAGCACCGTTTCACTGTGGTTAAAGCCTCACCGTGTATTTGCATGTAATTCAATTCAAAATACATTTCAAGTCTATCGGCGTTTTTGACATTCCGGACCAAAATCGTCCGAGCAGTATTTGTCCAGGCAAGCAAGCCAGCAATCTCTGGACCTTATTTGGGATATTCTGGGTCTCGTCATCAGAGTCGGGGATCGTTACACAAATAGTGCTTGATTAGCAGATGTTATTGGCAAGGGCACTCCATCTAAACTATGAGAAGCAATGCACAAGGGTTGCACTGCTCTGAACAGCATTCTGGGTAGATGCTTCACGCCATTGCACGACGTCAATAACAACTGTAAGAAAGAAAAAGCAACTGAAAGAAAATAGTCACCTTGCTACGCTTGTAATATATACCGATTAGCGAGTTCCACTGTGAGATCCAATGGCATACATAAAGTAGTCACGAGGGAGGACGTCGCTTGACATTGTCGATACGTTGAATGACGGGCGAATGTCCACCACAGTGAGCTGGCGACGGACTCGGCGCTGACAGAGACGCAGCGTTTCCTTGGCGACGTGGCCAAAATGGCCGCGCAGCAGGAGCAGCTGCCGGTCACGCTTGCCTCCGTGCAGGCCAAGAGGTCGCGCGTCGAGGCCGCCCTCCAGCAGGCTGAGAGGGTCGCGCGGATGAAGGAGGCCAACCTGAAGGTGAGGAAGCCCGGACGTGGATCTGTCCACGTGCCTCAGCGACGCGGACCGCCCGTCGCCGTTCATTATAACTGCTGGTTAGATAATGTCACGGCCAACAAGCCACGCACTTTGTTGAGACGTGGCGGAGCGGCAGGGCGTTTGCCGCTCGTTGCGTAGCTTCGTTTGTTTGAGCCCGGCAACCGTCCTGGTTAATGCTGCAGGATGTGTTGCATGCACGTACGTGTGTATGTATGTTGAACGTCTTTCGAACCGTATGTAGCCGACCGTGCTAATTGGAGGTGCGGCGGATGGACAACAAACTGAATACAAAGAGCAGCTCTTAAGAAATGAGTTCTCGATATATATTTAATGATCACCAAAAACTATTTGTTTACCTTCAAGACAATGGAACATCTGAATGGACAATGGAACATCTGAATGGACGGCTGTCCACTGTTACTCATTTCCCAGAATCACCTCCGACATAATTCATGATCACATCTCTGTTAAACGTCGCTTTTCCCTGCGCACGACGTCAAAGTGGACCTTGTCCTATGTTTGTGTTGCAGAATACGGTGGAGACAATGAAGAGAGACCTGGCGCGAGAAGTGAAGGGCAAGGAGAGAGCTGAGGTTGGGATACAACACAGATCTCCCCCAACTCGCGAAATGCAAAGCATTTAAACAGGGCCCATCTAAACATTGTAATCAACAGATATTTATTTTGTCTGGTAAATATCACTGACATACTAATATTCAGTGTCTCAAGGGGGCAGGGTGGGGGGGAACAAATGCCCCCTTCCCCCCCCCCCTTCTTGGATCCGCCACTGCCCTGAACGTAGAAGCTAAACCTTACAATTGTCTCCAGTGTTCTGAGAATGGGTAAGTGAAGGAAAATAAATGGGAAAGGGAAGAGGGGGGAAAGAAAAGGATAGGGGAAGAAGAAGCTACGCAAGGGCCTCGGACGCTGCTACACGAAGCGGCGTCCGTTTTCACAGGGTGGCGGAGGAGAGGGATTCAGAGTGTGGTTGGCCACACAGAAGCCACGTGATTTATGGGAGGCTTCAGCCGATCTGAACGCATCGACGCGACCGTGCTGTTCTCGCGCCGGAGCGCGAGCGAGCTGCCCCCGTCCGTGCGTGTCCGCGCGTTTCAGGCAGCGTTGGACAGGGGGCGAGCGGAGCTGAAGCGGAGTCGCGCCGAGGTGAAGGGGGAGTGCCGCGCTGCGCAGGCCCGCGCCGCCCACGCGGCCGAGCGCCGCCTGCAGATGGAGGGCAGCACGGACAGTGAGCGCCAGCAGCACGCGCACAGCCAGCAGGTAGGGATGGCCGCGAGATACCAGACGCAGGGCAGCACGGACAGCGAGCGCCGCGAGATGCTTGTGTCGTTGCATGCCTAGTTAGTGCTGCCTGTCTGCTGCTGCAAGGTCGTCTCCCTGCCCATACGTGTGCAATCATAGCCCCGAATACATTTAAATGTGTCTTTAACTTCAGTTGAATTTTTACCACAAATGCTTTTTAAATGTAGATTTTCCGAGCCATCTTTCGTTCCAGGAAATTATTTTTGGTTGTACGCATGTTTAGATGTCATCCGCAACACGGTCGTTTTCGTGCTGATTTCTATTTGCTTCACTGTTACTCTTCGTTTTTTATGTGATCGCTTTCGTCATTCCGGTGACCCAGGTCCGTCGCTCTTACAAAATGAAACCATCCTGGTCTCTTTTTGAATTCTGACCCGGCCTCAATATAATAAACTTGACACCTGAACTCGCCCCATACTACCTTTTAACCACGACCTTCATGACAGGCACCGTGGAAACGATGTCGCGCGTATCGTCGATAACTGTCCACTGAAGTCCAGCGGAAGCTCTATGGGAACTACGCTCAGCCACCGAGGATGCCGTCGCGAAAGTCTCCTTTGCTCTGACGGCAGATGCTGGAGTCACTCCAGCAGCAGCTCGGGGATGTGTCCCTCAAGCAGGCGACCATGGAACGGGAGCTCAAGGAGCAGACGGCGGGGATTGAGGTCGCACTGCGAGCCGCAAAGGTGAGGCAGCAAGGGAACCACCCTTCGCTTGCACATCGTCTTCCCCGCCGGTCTTTGAAATGACGTCGTACAAATAGGATGCGGAAACGAAAGTAAGGCTTGCTCCTTCATGAAAGGTTTTTCCGCTCCACGTAAAAATATCGTCCGCTTTTAAGGACATAAGGTTACAATCGAATGGAGAGGTCCATTCGGCCCACCGCTGTGAGTAGCGAATCGATTCCAGGATATGATCGAGGCGTCTCTTGAAGAAGAGTTCCGAGTGAATCGGCTCCCACCGGGTGCTCTGTGGGCAACCCGTTCCGCCGCTCCTTGCGTAAAAAAACATCGTCGCTTCCTGGCCTCGGTCCTCAACTCTATCGGTGTCAGACGGTGTGGCGTGCGTTCGTGAACTTTTCGAGAGACGGTTTGGTGAGACTAAAGGGAATGGTGGTGACGGTCGATGAGCGGTTGATGGATTGATTAGTTTGGAGATTGTGACTCTGTTGCTTGAGTGCCATTGGGATTTCCCTTTTATTCCTTTTTATTTCCTTCCCGTCTATGCCCCTAGACTACTCGTGTGAATTAAAAGTGACTGTAGTTGGAATCTCGCGGGAACTGTTTAATATTTTTGTAAAATTTTCGTGGAACGTGTTCTAATTGTCAATTTAACTCGCATTATTCTCAGCCCCTTGTAATCCACATTCGGTTTTCTGGGATGGACTGCGCGTTGTGATCGCTTCTTCCCCGGAAGCCTTTGCCACGCGCCACCGCGTGGGGCATCTTCAGGAGTTGCGGAGGGCAGCGGCGGCAGCGCGAGGCGCAAGACCGAGAGGAGAAACGGTCAGCTCGCGGTCCAACCCGGAAAAAATCGCAACTTGGACGGTTCATTCTTGATTTCACGAAAATGTAATCACACACGTGCACTGTGCGCGGTGCGCCATAGGTGCGGCGGGACGAGGCGGTCACACGAGCGCAGGGCATGCAGGAGACAGCGCTCGGGCTGCGCGAGGAGCTCGCCCGCTTGCGCCCTTCGCTGCTCGTCTTCGACAAACTCCGCACGAACACGGAGGAGGCCCTGAACCACTTACAGTTACGTTGCACCGTTCCGTCGTTCCGCCGTTACAACATACATTTTTTCCCTCATCGCTCGCGCTCTTTGTCTTCGACACATTTTTATCTTGTTTATCTGTTGATAGTGTGGAAAATATAGCGGCCACTGGAGGCTGCAAGGGCCACACCGACCCATCACATATAACACGTGTGAATGAGAAAATATTGATTCTCATGTACGGTTTGATAAGTTGTATATGGGGAGCTTGAGACTCGATGCGTCATCACTGCTTGTAGCTCATTAGCAAGTGTTGTTCCATCCCTGAAACATTTTCTTCTTTGGTATTTCTCCCCTCTTAAATTGTATCCGAATTGTGCTATCGGCGTTGTGTCACAGTGGACCGGTGCATCGGGTACAGTGACTTGTAGCCCCAGCCATAGTGAGAGGGACGCTGGGTACAGAACTATATCCCGGCTCACCAACTCGGACAGACCCAGTGTGACATCAATCCCCGACTGCTAAGTGACTGCGGCTGCCTGCTTTCATTTTCCCCAATTTTATCCCAGTTATGCTCTCGACACAAAAGCGGCTGCCCGTAGAAACGGATGTCACCGAGCTCCGTCTGAGATTCCTTCAACTGACGTCTGATCCACGCAGTATGAGGCGGCACTTTCCCACCTGCCCTGCCATGGAGAGCAATGTTTGTCGCATGACAGAGCTCGAATAGGACCACATTAAACGCGGAGTCAAATTTAACAACGTGATGAGGGTTTGTTGTTGTGCAGTCACTTGTGACCGAACTAAGACCATAAACTCGCTGCGCTTGAGAATCCGGTTTAATCACAGGTGGCTGACACACTTGGGTTCGAACCCAGGTTCTCGGCCGTGCCGGCTCAGCGCTGTGACCTCTGAACGAACAAGCATGGCCACCTCATCCTACCACTCAAATGCTAAGCTTTTAAGTCGATCACTCGTCGACACCGCCTGTGATATTGAGGCCGCAGGGGCAGCATTACCACCGTTACCTGTATTTGTCACCGTTATCTATCAGTCATGACTTTATCTTCGGTCGTGCATTCAACCTTGAGATAATCTGCCCGAGCCGATTTGCGCTGCGGGGAATTCTGTTTGCAATATTTTCAATGTGGCCACTGTTGGTGACACAAGTCACTCTTGCAAAATTTGAGACTCATCCTGGTATCTTCAGAAACAATGCAAATGTTTATTTGGTGATGCTGCTGAGTTGGCAGCGGTGCACAAAGCACAATTAAGGAACAAAAACATAAACTTCAAACACGTTCGCCAAAAATACTGCGGCCATAACAGCAAAAAAAATAACAGCAGGTGACATTACAGGCAAATGGCCCTCCCTTCTTAATGGCCCTTCATGGTCTGAAGAAGGAGCCATTGGCCAAAGAGTTGCCTGTTAGATTTTTTTTTCTCCAAAGGGCCACGGTGACATTGCCCAGAGTTTCCTTCTGGTATCTTCAGCCCTCCCCTTGCGAAACAAAATAACCCTGACGCTTGAACGCATTTGATCCCCCAACGTGCACGCGCCACTTCGTACGGTGGCTTCGTCTCGCTGGCTCCGGCTCGCCGTCGGCGGCGCCGCGAGCGATCTCTCTCTCTCCGTTCCGGGGAGCATCGGCGAGCGACCGTCGCCGATTGCCTCGTTTACCTCTCGCCCCCCACCCCTTCCCACCCCCCCCGCCGCCCCCCGCGGCGTGTCAGGAGCGAGACCGGGGAGCTGCGCGGCCGCTGCGAGGACAGGCGCGCCGTGCTAGCGGCCCTGCGGGACGAGCTGAGCGTGTGCGTCACGCGGAGTCGCGGCTCGCGGACCTCGCACGACGCGCTCGTAACGTCGCGCGCCCGCGTCCTCTGCGAAGCCGAGGTGACGGGCAGTGGGCTCCGGCGTTATCTTAGTCAGCGATGTTTTGATTTTTGTTTACAGTCTTCAACGATAGTGTTATTCTTCCAGTGCATGGAAAGTACGTGTAAATTATACGCCCAGGTTAAAGTTTGCAATAATAGCTTCGGGAGTAGCGCGACCCATGCTGTCCAGTCCACAGGAGAGTGGGCGTAGAACGATGCGGTTGCGGTTCACGACGTGGCCCATTGTTTGGGTCGGGTGGCCGCAGTCACCGCACTGTGTGGTGGGGGAGGGGGGTCATCTTTAATTTCGCGATTATGGAAGAGGTGTGCGCAGCAGTGACCAGTCGCCGCTATCGAAGCGGTTGATGGAGCCACCTAAACGCATTTAGCACCACGTACGTTGTAAACGGGCAGGCTCATTCGATACGGCCAAGAGCGCGGTCAATTTCCACGCGCCTCGCATTGCTGCCGTTAACGGTGGAGGGGGGGGGAGGTGGCGATTTTTTTCACGAATCTGGTTGCGTTTCGCAGGCTGCACTGGAGGCAGAATTGCGGAGTAACTCGACGCTGGCCTGGCAATATCGGGAATTGCAAGAGAAGCACTTGGAGACAAAAGCTCGAACCGCCGCCCTCTGTGAACAGCGACTGAGGCTGGAGTCCGCCGTCCAAGACCACGAGCAGGTGAAGCCCCTCCCCCATCGTGACCGTCCCGCGTGGCAGCGGTGACGGGAGAGGCAATGCCACCGTTGCGGGGAACGCTGAGTCCATCCTGCGCCAGGACATTGACCATTGGTGCTACACAAAAGGGAGGACGTCCGTTTTAAAGGCAAGGCTGTGTTTGGAAAACGCCGCCACTGAACCGGCCGGGTGGCTCAGAAGTTGAATCCAGGTTTCAGCCGCCTGTGATATTAAACTGTGGATTCAAGTGAAGTGAGTTGATGGTTTCAGCGCAGTCACCGATGGCTGCACGTAAAAAAAAACTATCACATTTTATTTGGTTTTGTGCTTATTTTGCTAAATTCCAGCTGTTGGGAATTAATACATATATATCGGTTTACTGATTTGCTCGAACATTACCGTCAGTGATATGGCAGGTGGAAAAGTGGTGCCCTCTATTGCGTGGACCAGAGGTCAACTGAATGGGATCTCAGATGCGGCTCTTCCAAAGCCACTTTCGTGGGCCATTAATAACATGAAGGACTAAACTGCTCTGCGAGAGATCCAAATGGATACTTGATCTCATGACATGATCGTGACAGCTCAATAATCTTGTCTGAATATCTAGCTCTGAGAATTAAAAATGTTGTTTGTACTGTCATTCCGTGAACATAACTGTCAGTGACATGGTAGGCAGGGAAGTGCTGCCTTCTACTGTTAGGACCAGAGGTCACTTAAAGGGATCTCAGATGTGTCGTGTCTATTTTGTGGGGCTACTTTAATTATTATTATATTAGTACCAAATTAATTATTTGTCTTGTGTGATGACGCCGACAGCATAATCTGCACAAAACTAATTTGGCGCAGGGACAACAGCAGCGAAAATATTGAAAAGGTTGTGCTTTCACGACGTCTCTCTCCTCTCAATCCCAATTACAGCTCCAGCTACTGCAGGCCCGCATGCAGGCGTTGCTGATGCGCTACCTCCGCCACAGAGGCCTGTGTGGTCAGGCCAGCCTCGACGAGCTCCAGGCCCAGTCCTGGAACGATGCACAGCAGGTGGTGGAGATTCAGGTAGGAGACCGCAAGCCGACCGCCTAGCACGTGCCACAGCCCCCTGTGTGCCAATCCACTGCTGGATGAGAGCCTCGCTGCGCCGTGCGGGGCCGTGGGCATTGTTTCACCGCTGGTCAGAGCCGGTCGGTGAAGTTGGGGAGTATAAATGCGGGAATGTAGTGAGAGGTGAAGGTGCAGCCCTGCAATTGCTTACTGCTGTAAATTGTCCACATGATGATAAGCCACTTCGTTGAGCTATCGTCTGTGATGGCCAGGTCGCTTCTGAAAGAGAAGCCAAAAGCTCAGTGGCCTTTACCTGGTAAGATAAAAAAAATTGTTAGTTTTATTTGTATATATTTTTAAGTGATTTGTTTGACTTTCCTATACTTTGCACTCCTATTGTGTTTCGTATTATTTTGTGTTGCAACGTTCTGACCTGCGACAACCGGACATCTGTGAAAAAATAGCTTTATAGCACATCAGCTTCCTCCAGTACAAATACATTATCTGATTCTGGCGGAAAGGCGTCCACGAGAGGGAGCACTGGAGAGGCCCCTGTAGAGAGTATTCTTGACGAGTCTTCCACACTGGCCAGACCTCTTTAAAGAGGTAGGAGTACCCACACTTTACCCCACCACAGTCGAGTACAAGAATGGGGAACACAGAATAATGTATTTTGCTGCCTTCTGCTATCCACGATGTAGCCCCTGCAGCAGTCTACGATATCCTATTTGATCCACGGTAGCTGCCTATCCACCAACTATCCAGGCCCAAGTCTGCAAAGCCTCCCAGGTCTGACGATATTCGACTCATGCCGGCTCTTACTCCTCTGGCGTATGGCTAGATCGTGCGTGAAAACTAGACAATTATATATCCTTTCTTTTGTAAGCAATGTTATTGACGAATGTGTGGAGTTTTTTTTTTCGCGTCGTCCTCGTGTTGGAGTATACTCTGGTATTCCTCATCTGTCACCATCACCTTGGCCACTGGATCTCTCAGCATCGTTCTGGACCATTTTGGTCATGGGCTGTTATTCTATGTGGCTTCAGAAGAGGCAAGATCGATGCCTTTTAGTGCTGAAATCAATACGATGGACTCATATTAAACTTTTTTCGTTTGTTTCTTAAGGGAAGAACTGCGAACCTCTCTCTTAGATTTCTTGACTCAATGTCTGTTGGAGTGTAGTTTGGAAAGCTCTGCTGTGTACTATACCATCGTCATCATTGTCATCAGCCATGGTCAAGCCACTGCTGGATGAAGGCCTCCCTATGCTGCCACCATTACGATCCGGCAAAGCAATAATCCGCCTGCATAACCAGCTGATTCTATAACTCCATCTCCTCTCGGACGGATCCCATATCCCGGCTGCCGCTCCATCGCTATTCTTGACCATCAGCCATTGTCCATCCTAGCCGCGACACGTCCTGCCCAAACCCCGTTTGCGCCGTCAAGTGTGGAGTGTGAAGCGGTGTCGGTAGAGGAGGTTCTGTTCACTGTTGTTTCTTTGCAGGGGGATGTAGAGGAGGCTCTGAAGAGAGTCGTCGAGTTCTTGAGAGCTCCTGATGAGAGCCAGGAGTCGGTGGAACGTGTTTTCATCACGGCTGAACACGAAACGTCGCCAGCAGAGGGCGGCAACGCAGAGTCCTCGACGCCACTCGGGACACGTGACACCACTCACGCTGACAGCTCAACTGCATTTATAACATAACTCCATACCTGTCAACTCCTTATCAGTGCCTACCTTATTACAGACCAATTCAGATCTTATTGGTCACCCCGTGCCCTTATAACTCTCAACGTGCATCCGACAAAGTCCCATCACAAGGGAGACACACAAACAAATAGGCAAAAATGTGATTTCCCCCCGTATTGAAACGGCTGTATGCCGTATGGAATTGAAAACCTAATTTCCCTGTACAAGAATACGGGATAAACAATATCGTTTGAAAGGTATGTAACTGCTAAACGTATTTTTGTTTTACCCGTTAAGGCCCAATGAGCTGCTCTTTTTCAGAAGCTACCTCACTACAAATGATCGCCCAGCGAAGTGGCGTATAATGTGGAAATATACAGCAGCCAAATACTCTCAATACATGTGTCGAAATGTGGAGGGGGAAAATCGGAGGCCCTGGAGAAAAAGCCACGTGAACACGGGGAGAGCATGCAAATTCCAAATACACAGGAGGACCCGGAGAAAAATTCACGGGGAGAAAGAACACGCAAACTCCAAATATAGAGCAGGTGTCAGGGTCGGGATGGAACCCACGATCTCCTGTACACCAGGCGAGGGAGTTAACATCTAGCCACCGTGATGATGATGAGAGAGAGAGAGAGACACGCAAACTCCAAATATACAGCAGGCGTCAAGGTCGGGAACGAACCCACAACATCCTGTATATCAGACGAGGTAGTTAACATCTCGCCACCGTGGTGCCTATTATAATATAATAGGCGACGTTTCGGGGCATGGTCCTTCACAGCACCATATGTAGGCCAGAGAAGCTAGTATCAGCAAAGTAATTTGTTTAACTTTGAAGACAGAACGTAGTTGATGATTATTTTAGTTGATCCGTCACAATCGTCCCAGGTCTCCTCACATTGTTTGTCCCAATCAATGCAGTTTGTTCATACATTAGCCATCCCGTCGTATAGAATATAACCACGGATTGTTAATAACTGTGTGAGTCGTATTAATATATTAAAATGATGATGATAGACGAATGATACTATGTAATGTATGATATTACAAGTGATATATCGTGTATGATATGATACAAATGTATAGATTTTTTTGAAAATGTGTTTACTGATGAAACAGCGTATAAGACAAAAGCCACGGCAGTACCTAGCAAACATGCATTCATAAATCATTGTCAGTGATTATAGCGGTATTATTGAACGCGGTGAAACGTAGTATTGTTGTAATTGTAAATTGATTATCAATGGGGTTACAGTATATCAGAGCAAACTAGTTTTTAAAGGGGTACAGTGTCGTCCGGGTAATCATGCTGCTAATAAAGAGACAAGGCGAAATGACAAACACCAGCAACTCTTACGCATTTGCAGAATCTGGACACAATTTGTAAGTAACATTTTCGAAGCCAGTGTCGTGTCTACTAGTGACAGCTAAGCGATAATTATTATAGTGGAACACTGCTGATGACATTTAAAAATAAAACAATGTGTGGCTCTGGCTACATTTGGTAAAAAAAAATGACCGCATAACTGCTGCCCTCCGACAGAACATCCCAATGGTGAAACAAAATAATAAATGTACCTGCAAATGATTATATTTGGATTAGAGTACAGTATAGGACAAGTAGCAAAATCACCCCCCGACTGCGGAAACTTGGCAAGATTCTGAAAAGAGTTGAGACTCGGCGCTTTCCCTGCGTAAACAAGCGTAGGTGTGGTCGTAATGGTAATGAAGGTAAATGTAAGACGGAAAGAATGCATTCATCAATCCACAGGTATGGATTGTTAGATTCTTATCGAGTAAACATGGAACCTGCCAATGGTTCCGATGACATGCCAACGTTGGGCCAATGATTTCGATAACATGCCAACGTTGGGCCAATTCCGATGACATGCCAACTTTGGATCAATGGTTCCGATAACATGCCAACGTTGGATCAATGGTTCCGACCACATGCCGACGTTGGATCAATGGTTCCGACCACATCCATACGTTTGTCCAATGGCATGAAAAAAAACAACAAGAAGTGATATCTGCAATAGTGTCAGACTTTATTTTTTTTCGAAGTCTTATGAGGCTTTTTAAACGGTGGGCGCCTGAATTCTGCCACTGCGTGCAGCCTGCGACAGAACATACCAGGACAATTGCAATCGCCACCAGCGTGTTCACCACACTGTATAAGTACAGGGCATTACTTGGACAGCGCCCTACAATTATCAATGTTGCACACGTGTGTCGGTCCGGTCGGAGTTTGTTTGGATCGGGCTTTGATGATGGGTGCGAGAGTGTTGGTAGAAGCCTCGTGCACTGCACTATGAATCTGGCGACCCCAAGTCGATTGCCCCGCTCACGCCCAAACAACGATGGCGAACGTCTGAACCAGTCATGGGCCACCCCTAGGTCGAGTCAGCCCTAAATGAGTACAGTACCTTGATATAACATCTTAATGATTCCTTTTATTTAGCGTCGCTCGTGCAACATGCATCTCACAATCGCTGAGGAACCGCAGACAAACTGGAATCCTTCCAGGCGGTAGCCGGCGCCAAACATTGCTCTGCAGTTCCCTACATATTAAGATGCTTTCAGCCAATTAGTGAGTGTTTATTGTACACGTGGGAGGAAACCGGAGCACCCAGATAAATTCCCACGCATGCGAGGGGGAAACACTTTATCCCATATGGATGGAAGGGACAGATGATGTCAGTCCAAACTTCGCTGTACCGCATTCTCCTGGCGAGCCAGGGTATGGCGCTCCCTCGACGCCCACGGGAAGGGAAGTTTCACACCATCTGCGTGCGATCCACTAACCCTCACTGCCTCTCGAGTGATGGATAACAGATGTTGCATAGCGACCACCGCCCGGCCACGTGTGTCCCTGGTGCGACGTCTTCAACATCGCCACTGGGGGGGGAGACAAAGGCGGCCCCGTCGTGGCATTTTCCACCCCCCGCACCCCCAACCAACTTTCGAGTGCAGTCGCCGGCCCAGCACTTGTCCCAACAGTCCGTTCAAGGCTATACGGAGGGCCGGCGGCGGCGGGGGCGGGAGGGATCTTTGTCTTTGTGCGCGCGCCTCTGTTGTGTTTGTGCACGTGGATGTGCATAATGCTGTCAAAACGGTTCAAGCTCTTGGGATGCACAAGCACAGAGCGCCGCAGTGTACGCGCGTAGCTCGTTGAGCCGCCAACGACCGCGTTGCTTTAACCAATTGTCAGCTGGTTTTCAGACGCCCTCCCCCCCCCACAAAAAAAATCTTCATGTTTTGGTTCACAATTTGCTCCGCTGGTTGGAAAGCGCCCTCGCAATGCAACCCCCCGCACCACCCCCCCCAGGGTCCCCAGCCTCACCGGTACGTGTCCCGCTGGCACGGCGTCAAGTTCCGAGGGGCCGCCTTGTTTTGTCCTAGTAATAAGTTCGCCTCGGGTTATTTGTACTGCATTTGCTCCGTTGTGTGTGATGAGGGTGGGTGTATGTGTGCGTTGGAATCTTTTTTTTCTTCACTTGTACATTCAGAAATTGAAGGCCCACGTGTTACTACAACCCGTTTGTCCATCCACTGCTGGATGATGCCCCCCCCCCCCGCTCCCCCCACACACTTGTTAGTTATGGAGGTTTTTGTTTGACCATACTTCACCACGCCGGTCAGATCTGGGGATGATGACGTGCTATGGGCCCCAGGGCTGACGCAGATGTCACTCGCCAATCGATGTGAACAGTGGCCAGGAATCGAACTCGGGTTTCTGGGTTCATCGCGCGATGCGCCATGCATGTTGAACTTATTTTCGCCACCGTACTGCAGCCAGCCATGCTAATCGGAGGTGCGCTACTCCTCCACATATGCATGCTGCAAAAATTAACCCGTAAAAACAAAGTTTTTCACTATAAATCCTTTATATGCGTGGCATCGGGTTTATTTTATTATTCATTTCTGTTTTTCTTGAGTAAGAGTTTCATTTTATCACATTGGTATTTTAAATAAAATATTTTAAAAAAATTCCTAAAAAGTGGGATATTTTGGAAAAAAAATTCACGAAAATAAATTGTCACGCACAACGAGTCAATGTGCAAAATGTCAGCTCGATTGGATCACGGGAAGTGGGTAAAAAAAAACGACCGAAAGATTTGCACGGTCGTAAGCGCGCAAGCAAGCAAGTTAACTTAATATAAAGGATTTTAAAAAGAGCCAAAGCGCAGCAAAATAACACTCGTCTAAATAAATTCTGCACTGCCAAAGCGTTAATTAAATCCGGGCCAGCACAACTTGGCGTGTTGCAATGCCTGCCCCAATTCATTTAAGAATTCAAGACCACTCAACACAAAACCAGTCCCCACATCTTGAATACACACGTCCGCCTCATTTGTATGACACTGGAGGCTTCTGGGAGGCTTTTAATGTTATACCCTTGCAGCGCTGGGTTACACAGCAACCCGAGTTCCAGATCCCTGGATTTGTGTTTTTAGAAAGTGCATGGCAATTCAAGCTTCACATCTTCCTTCCATGACAACTTGGGAAACCAGGGACACTGGCCCTCTCTTATCAATGCCCCATGGCCCTGGCTTATGAATGCCCCATGGCCCTCTCTAATCAACGCTTAAAGCAGAGCTCTGCCAACATGCGTTACAGAGGAGTAATGATCCAACCCTCTCCCTGGCAAGTCGATGAATTGTAGCAATAGAGGGTTGCGGTTGGATTTATAAAAATCAAGTCCTTTTATTGTTTACATTGTTGGCGAGTACAGCGGCCACTCGTGGCTGCAGGGGTCACGTAAAGCAATTGCATACAATTGTTACGTCACGGGATAGTGAGGGATGGCGGTCGGATTGGGGAGGCCTTTATCCAGCGGTGGATTGACCATGGATGATGAGACGATGCTACGAATAGAAAAGCGTCTACTCTTACACTTGTGATCGCAAGCTTTAGAATTGTCGAATCAATGCATCACTTACGCCTCAAATGAGAAGAATACATTATACCGATTGCTTGAAAGTGTTGCGTTAAACTGTCAATAACATTTAAAATGCTGACGATATCACAGTTTAGACCATTAACGGAGCGAATCGAATAAACATCGTGGCACGTAAAGCGCAAATCTACTTTATTACAGGTTCTCAATAAGTTCACGGCACCAGTCGCCATTCACAAGACTGGAAGTTGCACATCACCGCACTCAGACTGGATGCACAGGGCATTAACGAGAAGGGGGGCTGCATGCAAATCTGCCTAAGTTACCCCATGTGTAGCCTCCATCCCAAATACAAAGGGTCCCCCCGTATAGCCTGAACAGACTTTTGGGGCAGGTGCTGTTAGCGAGCAGCACCTATGAAGGCCCGCACGGCGCACGAGGGGGTGGGTGGCCAGCACCGCGCCCGGCCGCTTTTGTCTCTCCAGTGGCGATGTTTACACACCGCTACACCAGGTGACTCATTTGAGGCCGAATCAAATGAGAACCTGGCGTGGTGGGGGAGGCCCAGGATTGATTCGGATAACCGTCATCGGTGTTTGCCGTTAGCAGGAATCGAACTCAGGTCGTCAGGTTCCTAGCACAGCGTGCTAACCGCTACCCCCCCCCCCCACACACATACAGACACCGCACACACCTTTCCTTAAAATAAATAATCAATCTCGCATTCAAACGATTGGCATTCGGAGACGGGAGGAAGCCACAGCTTATTTTGGGGAGACCGCAGTGAAACGAGGAGGTATGTAATTAGGCCTTGGTGAACAAGTGTGGAGACCTGATGGGAGTGGAGTTGGGGGGGGGCGAAATTCATTCAGTCCACGAAGCCACAATGCTGCCAAATTGTGACCCCAACCACTTATCCGGGATGCTGCCACATCGGTGTAATGGTCAGCACAAAGGACTTACAACCCAGATGTCGCCAGTTAGTTTCCATCTCCCGCAACGGAAGTTGAAACATGGGGGGGGGGGGGGGGGGGGTGGGGAAGTTTGGTTAATTCCACCCCCAAGCCGCCGTCTTTGTTCACCCGGCAGTGCAAAGGGTCACAAAGCCACAGTTTCGTGCAATGGCAGGTCGAGTGTGGTGGGGTAAAGTGTGGGTACTCGCACTTCTACCAAGACACCTGACCGGCGACGAAGAGCAGGCGGCAGGGAGGTGCGGTGGCAATACTCGCGCCTCGCGGGGAAAAAAATCCTGGGTTCGATTCCCGACGTAGGCGCTTTGCTGCGTGGAGTTTGTATGTTCTTCCCTTTGTCGTGAATGGGTTTCCTCCGGGTTCTTCGGTTTCCTCCCATAGCTAACACAAAAACCCCCCATAAAATGCAACTGGTATTGGCCAAACCACATTCCAATATTGACACATGACTAACAAAATCACTCAAATGGCATGACATCAATGTCGCCCCCTCTACTGCAAAGAATTGGCAAGGCCCTCCTGAAAAAAGGGCCTTGAGGCTCAGCGGCTTTCTTGGAGAAACACGAAAAGAATACCGTATAGAGGGCCTCTCCATGGTGGCCTCGAGCGGAGGCCCCTTCTGTCAGCATCGGCGTGAGCAAGCAATTGCAGGGCTGCACCTTGACTTGAGAAACAAGGGCAGCGATGCGAGCAGGCGGTGTTGAGTCTCCTGCAAGGGTACCGCTCGTACAGATGCTACTGCAGAAGGTCAGAGCGGGCTGCGCTCCCTCGCCGTTCACACGCGACCTCTCTGGGCGTCGTGACGCGCGGTTAAAATTGGGTAAATTATAACGGGTGCAAACTTTATTTTGTTGCAATATTTAAATTAAATTGAAGCAATATGCTTTAAAACTCCCGACTGCCGGTTTACGCAACAGCAGGGTTAATAAGCTAGGCACGACACAGCATGAATCCAAGTACAAGGACGACCACGATCTCTAAACACCGAGTACAGCGGTACGGGTTTGATTCATAAATGCGAGGCTAATTGTGAAGCACGTTGTCGCGAACAGCGACCCTCGGCCGAGGAAGCGCGGCGGTGACGCTGCCCAGCGGCAGGTAGCGCGCGTTCGCAGAGGCTCGTGGTTCCAATCCAGCGGCTACCCCAGTTAATACTGCGGTGGGACGGCATCTAAAAGTAGCACGCGCCCGTCCTGTTTCGCAGTGCACGTTGAAGATTCCCCTGACATCACGCGCAAGAGTGGGCCGCCGTGTGCCGGCGTCAGGGTCCGAATTTGGCAAATTTTAAAATTCCCCCGCAAATAACTCGCTCGGCGTTTCACATGGCAGCGGCAGAAGCAATCAACGCCCCACGTCACTCTTGGAAATAAGACGAATCCTAGTCTCTTGAGTTCTCACCTGGTTAACCAAAATGAAATTGAAAGTTGTCACGGGATGTGAGAATGTGAGAAGCCAATGTCGCTGCCGCATTCAGATACACGCGGCATTTCCACTTGACCCACTTTTAACCGTCATGAACGGTCAGCAGTGCTGTGAGCAGGGCACACACAACACACAGCAAGAGTGCACGCAGGCACACACACACACATACATCCCACCCACGCACACACACCCACGCACACACGTGCGTGCTCTCATGTTCAGAGCCCGGCTAGTGACTCCCGCTCAAGACGGTGGCAAAATCTCCTCCTGGGGGCTTTTCAGTCGTGCAAATGAGCGCAGCTTCAGCAGAGGTCTGGCCTGGCGCCAGTGGCAGCATGGGAGGACAATACGCGGGGTGTCACTGGTGGTGGGAATGTCGTCGCTATACGACGTTTCACGCCATACCCACGGCACTTCTCACAACACCAAATACCTGTACACGGGCACTATTCAACGCGGCTCCCATTCCCAAGATGCGTCGTTACCGCAGAGGGGGGAACGGCAGCGAACATGTACGTACGTACGTATATTGATCTTCTTTCGCACTGCAACTGTGCGTAACATGGGCGGCAGCGGGACCAATGGGTGCCCTACCGGGTGGGACCTCTGCTCTTCGACGTCGAGTGCTCGAATTTTGTCGCCGGCAATGCAGTGGCTTGTCACAGGCCAGCTTTGCGGTTCGACGCGGAGAACGGTCGTAGGTCCCTTCGCTGCTGTAACGCCGCTGCGAATGCCTCCAGTGGCCGGAGGAACTCGTTTCGACACGCGCACGAAAAAACCCCATCGCGCTGGGAAGGACGTGAGTGCAGGACAGTGGTGGGGGTGGGGGAATGGCCCGGCTACCGAGACCGGCACTGGACCGTGGCCTCCGCGAATTTGGCGAGCAAGACCCGACAGCAGATGGCGGGGGATGCTGCGAGGTCAGATCTTGGGATGCCGCTGCGTGCCGACTGTGCGGCGGCCGCGGCGGGATCCGACCGCGAGCGCTGGCTGCGAGTAGTCGCGGCGGTCGCATCAACGGCTTTGGCCACGGTGAGGCGGCGGTGATGTTGAACAGCAAACGATTCTTAAAGCGCCGCGTGCACCGCCAGCTGAAAGACCTGATGTTACGGCGGATGAGAAATCCGTTACTCCCATACGCACGGCACGACCGGCACTTCACGATTCCTCGTTGAAAACGAGCTGCACGCGACGCCCACGACTTGAAAACGCCACCGTGGGGTTTGCAGGCCCCCCCCTCCACCCCTCCCCCCACCCCTCCCCCCCACAACAACAACCCAAGGTGGAGCCACGAGACCGTCACTTGCATCCGTATCCAGCACGGCAATGTCATCCGGGCTGGAATCTCCGCACGTGGAGCTCTGACCACCACCCTGCTTGGGTACGACCACGCGTGGCGTTCACGTCTTCTCCCCGACTGCTCGCCCACTTAGCCACCGTCCACCACGTAAGCCGCACCGAAAGGCAACGGTGCAGGTGACGTGGTAGCGGTGGCCCAGCCTGGTTGGCATTGGGGCCCTGGTTGAAGGAGATTAAATACCCAGATCCCACACCCACATCCCCCCCCAACCACCCCGCCCCCCACTCCGTGGCCCTGTGCCTGGGCCCCTCTGGCCCGTAGCTACGGTTGCCACTTCTGGAGGTACAATAAAAAAAGACCGGAGCATGTCAATGAGAGGAAGCAGAAAAACACTTCACAACACTGGCAGAGGGGAGATCTACGTGCGAACGCATCGTTTTACGCGGTGCATTATTACGTGTACTGTATTACTTATTGTATTATTCTTTTTAATTACGCAACTGACAAAATCCAGGACGCTTAAACATCCTGGGAAAATGCACGGATTTCCCAGAACAGGCCACTTCAAAAAGAAGACGATCCCGGGAGCAGGTGGCAAGGCTACACGCGGTCATCCCTGGCCCAGTTGCACCGTCTGTGCAGTCGGCAGCTATTGCCGCTGCATCTTAAAACACGAGATAAGAAAAGAAAAGAAAGGGGGCCCCAAAGGAAAACAGCTTGGCGGCGTAATATCACCGGGCCGAGTTTGCCGGCCTGAGCGATAACGCAGCCAAGCCCCTCCGTTGTCGTTGTGTCGCGGGAACGCGCGCGACCGTGAACGACCCACGGCGGCCTTCGAGGAATCACGACGGCAGCAGACAACGACGCAGCCGCCTCCGCAGAAGCCGGACGCGCGAGCGAGCGTCCTGCGTACGGCTCCCCGGCGTATCAGCTACCCTGTGCGTGCCAAGCGAGGCCGCGGGTTTTTTTTTGTGCGGCGCGCGTGCCACCCCGACCTGCCCGTCGGGACCCGTACCCGCACGAACTCTCGGTGGCACCCACACACACGCACGCACGTTCAACGGTTGGCTGCCGAGCGGGCAAATTTGACTCTTGACGAACGTCACAGAGGCCCCTAAGCATCCGCGCAAGCGCCACCGGGTCGGCCAAGCTTCCCGACGCAGCCGCCCGTCCCGAGTCCACCGCCGCCGCCACTACGTGGGGACGTGTGCGTGCGGGAGCAACTGCGATGAGAAGCCCTGGGAGGCCGGAGATTGAGAGTAGGCCGCAGTAGCAGAGGATTGCGGGTACCCCTGCAAAGCGGAGAACTGTGGGTAGCCCTGAAGGACGGCGGAGGGCTGCGGGTAGCTTTGAGAAGCAGAGGAGGACTGTGGGTAGGCGATGGCGGAAGCCGACGAAGGGTAGATTTGCGAGTGGCGAGAGCGCACGCCGAGAGCGGAGATCGGAATCGGCAGCAAGGACATCGCAGACACGGGTCTTCGGCTGTGCTTGGTCCTGTTTGTTGAACACCAAAAAATAAACAAAGCAAACGTTAGACGCGTCCGAGCGCTGGATCCGCTGCGTAGGTTTTTTGCGGTTGCGCCGTAACAGCTTCTTGGGGAAACAGAAGACTTTAAGGAGGCGCTGACGGCTCGTGGGGCGAAACGTTGGACGTCACGCCGAAAAACAAACACGGTACGACCCCAAGACACATCGGAGAGCGGCACGGCTCCTCTACAACTTACAGAGCCATTCTGCTCGACGACCACAGGAATAAATAACACTGGTCAACACGTTTTCTGGCATAAGGTATTCCAACGGTTTTAATAACTTTGGGGTGCTGATTCCAAATCTGGCATCAGTTTTTGTATATCACATCAGGTTTTTGAGATATCAAATATTGCATTTTCAATAAAAACTGCAGAAGAAAAATATTAAATAAATGTGGATATCTACATAAAATGATATTATAAACACACTATCCTAAAAATACAGCACCATATTTTAACACTAAAGCAGTCACTGACTCGCAACAACTTGCAATAATAAGTGACAGAATTAATTTCGGGTAAAATCAATGAAAATGGGGTAATGCCGATAGCATCAAAATGAGATGTGATAGAGCAAATCTGAGATCAGATTTGGAATCATCAAAAGTCCAGGCCAGAATTTTTTTTTTGTTGACCAGTGTAATAGCAACGATGAGGTGCGTGCGGAGGTGCGTGTGGGTGCCGTGGCCGAGAGCGAGTGCCGAGGGACGACAGGCCTCACCTGGATTTGCTTCTCCTCATCTCCCACTCGGAGCTCTCAGACGCTCCGGCTGCGCCGCTGCTGCTGCTGCCGTTGCTGCTGCTGCTGCTGCTGCCGCCCCTAGAAGCGGCATGGGGCTGCTGCTGCTGCTGCTGAGAGGCCCCTTGCCCCGGAGAATCTCGCGCGCAGGGGACGGAGCGACGTCCGCGGGGCGCGACGTGATCCCGTGTCGTACGCGACGGCAGCTCCAGCTCGACGAACATCACGTTCTCCGCCTGCCCCCCCCCCCGCCCCGCGCAAGCGCAACGAGCGGCACAGTTGTGGACATGGTTACGCGGGGAAAAAAACGGTGACGATCCGCCGTCGATTATCTCGCGGCGGGTTTCTCTCTCAACCTTCCTGCTCGCCCGCCCCCCCACCCACATGAATGATTTTAACCTTAGCTGGAAAGCATAAGCAGAGGTAATCAACAACAAAAAACAAAAAACGCCATTACTTAAATCAAACCGCGAGCCGGAACGTCGACGATCGAGTCGCTGGCGAGCGCCTCACCCGGAAGCGCGGGTTGTCCCAGCAGCGCACGGTGGCACAGGCCGTCTGGCTCACGGGCCGCTTGTACCCCACGGCCGACACCGGCCTCTTCAGCTGCTGGGCTCTGCCAAGTCGCAGTCAACGAGAGCGGCGACCACTCAAGCGTTAAGACGTTCGGTCTCCGAATATTTTCCCCGGGTCGCCGGCAGACCGGCACGGCAGCAGGCACGTTGGCGAGATGCCCCGGGGCACAGCGAGATGTGGCCCGTAGCATCTCGTGGATGCTGTGTGCCGGGCGTGGAAAATATTTTCCTGGTCGTCGAGCTGGACTGACCCGGGCAGAATTAAAGAGGGACGGGCAGACGAGCAGCCCAGGAGCCACCCCCTGGGATCCGGCTCCATCTCGTGTTGCCGCGATATCAATTAACCTTCGATTTAAAGCTTTCGTGACTGCAGGGATTCATATTCTTGGTTCTTTCGGTAAAGTCACATAGAAGGGAAGTAATAAAATAATACATATAAAACATAATAAAATAATTCTCACGACGTTTCGGCCACAACGCAAGCAGCTTAAATACACGCTCCAAGCTTGGTGGTGTTTCATTCTTCACCTGAGGACGGCTGCTTGTGTTGTGGCCGAAACGTCGTGAGAATTATTTTATTATGTTTTATTTTTATTATTTTATTACTTCCCTTCTACGTGACTTTACCGAAAGAACCAAGACGATCAATGAACCTATCATCTCCTTGCACCCCTCCACTGGAACAAGCTTCCCTTGTACATTGAGCAGTCCCCCTTCCTTGACCTCCTTCCGCTCCACTCTTAAAGGTCCACCTCTTGTTTATCACCCATTCTCTTCCTCTTGCCTCGCCCCCGCCCCTCCACTCCTTCCCGTCCCTCCCTTGCTCAACCCCTACGCACCCCTCTATCGCAGTCACCCATTCCTCATCTCTCGCGCGTGCCACTGCTTCTACTGTTATTATTATGTTACGCCACCTTGATTTAAGGCGCTCTGTGAATGTAAAATACAACAAGATGAGTTGACTAAGCACGGCCGGGCGTGGATCGAGCCGTGTTTATCCGAGCAGGAAGAGCCCGACCAGGACTCTGCGCCGGCGAGGCTGTCTCAGGCCAGGGCACCAGCGACGCGGTTTGGGGAGAAGGCAAGGGGGGGTCCCCGAGAGGGGGGGGGGGCAGTGGGGGACAGATCTACCCGGGGTTGCGAACGATCGGCTGCAGCCTCCACTGCTCCTCCTCCTCGTCGAAGAACGCTCGCTCCATCAACCTGCTCCTGACCTCCGGAGGAATGAAGTTCTCCATGGTCAGGTACCTGGGAAGGAGAGTGGGGTCGGGTGTGGGTTGGGACGGGCACCAATATCAATTGAGTTTAACGAAACGAACGGAGAAATTGTTAGTCAACGGAGCGCCTTTAATTTGCATCAACGATGACTGAGAACGGATGCAAATCGTCAAGCGCGACGATGATGACCGACTGATGAGACAAACGAAATGAGCCAAATCTGAATGAATGAGAAGATTTAAGAACGTGATTGGTGATGCAGTCTGTAAGATTAACCATGGTGATTGGCTGTGTATGAAAAGATGTTTGGCGTGTTCACCGATTGACTTATAATAATGGGTAGTCGACAAAATGTCACGCCTCTAACACCAACATCGAATAAATGTTTGACTCAATTTTTGACTGCTTTAGGTGGCTGGACAGGTGGCTGGGCGAGTGGCTGAGTGAATATTGGCTGGGTGGCTGAGAGTAGATGGGTGGCTGAGTGGGCAGGTGGCGAGGTGGGTGGCTAGGTGGATTGGTACCTGGCTGGGTGGCTGAGTAAGTGGATGGGTGGGTTGGCGGCTAGGCGGCTGGGTGCTTGGACAGGTGGATGGGTGGATGGGTGGGGGACTTGGTGAGTGAGTGGGTGACTGGCTGGGTGGGTGGCTGAGTGAGTGGATGGGTGGGTTGGCAGCTAGGTGGCTGGGTGCTTGGAGAGTTGGATGTGTGGATGGGTGGGGGACTTGGTGAGTGAGTGGGTGGCTGGCTGGGTGGCTGAGTGAGTGGATAGGTGGGTTGGCGGCTAGGTGGCTGAGTGCTTGGACAGGTGGATGTGTGGATGGGTGGGTGGCTAGGTGAGTGAGTGGGTGGCTGGCTGGCTGGCTGAGTGAGTGGATGGGTGGGTTGGCGGCTAGGTGGCTGGGTGCTTGGAGAGGTGGATGGGTGGCTGGCTGGCTAGGTGAGTGAGTGGGTGGCTGGCTGGGTGGCTGGGGTGCTTGTGCGGTTGGCTAGGTGGGTGGCTGGGTGTCTCCGCACGTACTTGAGCTTGAGCTCGCGCGTGAGCTCGTTCTGCGTCTGCTCCAGCTCCTGCCGCTCCTTCACGTGCTCGTCCTGCACGTCCTGCGTCTCCGCCTTCACCGACTGCAGCTTCGCAAACAGCTGCGCCACACGGATAGATTCAAGAAATACGTCATTCCACTGCCACCTCCTTGGCGAAATCGCAGCCGCGTGCCTTACAATGCCTGTTACTATTCCAGGCAGCTTCCTGCCAGGCCCAAAACGTGAGATCTGACGATCGGACACATTCAGGTTGGTTTGGTCGCAGGTTGGAATGCAAAACTATCTTAATTTACATGCACATCGGCACAAACGAATCGTATGTTTTCTGTTCCATTTCTTTTGGTTAAATTGTAAAAAAAAACGGAAAAGTGCACTCAGGCTGGAAACAAACAACACGCACGGCACAAAGACAAAGGTCCGCCGCCCGTGTAGTGTCCACGTGCAAGCGCCGTTGGCGAGCGCCCACGAAAAGCCGGCACGGCGCACGAAGCGGCGGCGTGGCAAGCAGCACCAGCAGCGGCGGCGAATCGACGAGTGTTGGATCATCGACTCATCCGGACTCCTCTGCTTTCAGGGTGCGGCGAGGCACGAACCGGGCGCTCCGCCGGCGGCGTGACAACAGTGACGACAGGCAACGGCGGCGTTTGTGTCCGGGCACGGAACCTTTTTGAGTTTCTTGGTCTTGAGCTCGACCTCCTGGCGCAGCGAGGTGAACGTGTCCCTCAGCTCCAGTGTCTCCTCGTCGCGACGCTCCACCTGCTGCTGCATCTCCCGCTCGCGCCATTTCTGGGAGCGCGATGGGCCACAGCGGCGATGCAGTGCGAACACACGCAAGCATATGACCACGCAACGTTGTGGCGAGATGTTAACTACCTCGCCTGGTATACAGGAGGTTCATGGCTACGATCCCGACCCTGATGCCTCTATATTTAGAGTTTGTGTGTCTCTCTCTCCCCGTGGTTTTTTTTCGCCGGGTCCACAGGTTTATTCCTCCATATTTAGAGTATTTGGCTGCTATAAACATCCACATGATAATCCATTTCGTTGAGCTATAATTTGTGGCCAGGTCGCTTCTGAAAATGAGCTATATAGCTCAGTGGGCCTTACCTGCTAAAAAAAAATAAAAATTGCTTTGTTTTAGTTTTCTATACGGCAACGCAAGAGAACAACATGGCACTCCTCGCCAACACAACCCAACGTGATTATGCAACTCCCATTATCGTTCCTTTCCCCCCACCCCCAAGTTTTTATAATCTTGTTCAATCTAAGACATGTACGAACTCTTTTCTATTACAGCTTAAATCATGCCGTGTGTTGCTGGCCGCTTGGCGCTTTGCATCTTTAGGCCTGCGTTCAGCTATCGTGATGTATATAAAAACAATTTGAATACATTTCCAGGTACCGCGATCCGTGCGCCAACCATAGTTCCAACCCCACTGTTGCGGGGAGACTCGGACCTGCTCTGCGATCTCCTGTCTCCGCTGCTCCAGCATCTTCTGCTGCTCGTTGGTGTGGTCCATGATGTTCTTGCCTCCCACGAGCAACTTACTCTCCATGGCCTGCAGAGACCGCACGGGTTGCATCGAGCAAGCGTTACCAAAGCAGGGAAAAGCTAAAGACAATAAAGTCTGTGCTCCTATGACGCGGTCGTTGCGTTACGGAAGAACACTGCGTTGTCGAAAAATTTGCGTGTCATTAGTAACGTAGGTTAACAAAAAAAAAAATTCTTGATGATTACACTGGTCAACAAAATAAAAAATATTTTCTTGATGATTACACTGGTCAACAAAAAAAATCTATTTTTTTCTTGATGATTACACTGGTCAACAAAAAAAATATTTTTTTTCTTGATGACTACACTGGCCAACAAAAAAAATACATTTTTCTGGCCTGGACTTTTGCAGCTGTTTTAGACTAATTTCAAGGTGCTGATTCAAAATCTGATCTCTGATTTGCTCTATCACATCTCATTTTTATGCTATCGGCATACCTCCATTTCATTGATTTTACCCGAAATTAACTCTGTCACTTATGATTGCAAGTTGTTGCGAGTCAGTAACTGCTTTAGTGTTAAAATATGGTGCTGTATTTTTAGGATAGTGTGTTTATAATATCATTTTATGTAGATATCCACATTTATTTAATATTTTTCTTCTGCAGTTTTTATTGAAATTTTTTATTGATATCTAAAAAAACTGATGCGATAGACAAAAACTGATGCCAGATTTGGAATCAGCACCCCAAGATTACCTTAAACCCGTTGGAATACCTTATGCCAGAAAACGTGTGTTGACCAGTGTAATATATAATATAGGGTGAGGCACAGTCCGCGATAACACGGTGAGATGCGTGACGCAGGCCGAGCAAAGACTGAGGCGCGTTGGTAGCATCTGGAAGCATCCAGCAGCATCCCAATGCCTTGTGTAGTGCTACGCCGAGGCAGGCGTACGACCGCTTATTCCTACTCGCGCGACGTAGTTCCGTTCATCCGCGTTATTATAATAAATGTGTTCCTGAATACATTCATCGCGTTATATAAAATTCGCGGTATGAAAACAACACGCGTTATAGGAGAACAGACTGCACCAATAAGACTATTAATGCCCTCCCTTTAGCCAGGAAAATTTCAGCGAATCCTGAGACTAATTTGACAGGAGGGTCCTGCTACGCTGCGATGTTTGGCCAATTCCGCTAACGATTGTTCGGCATGTGGGAAGAAACCGGAGTGCCCGGAGAAGACCCATCGTGCATACGAGGGGATGACAGTTTAACACGTACAGTGAGGGAAAAAGTATTTGATCCCCTGCTGATTTTGTACGTTTGCCCACTGACAAAGAAATGATCAGTCTATAATTTTAATGGTAGGTTTATTTGAATAGTGAGAGACAGAATAGCAACAAAATCCAGAAAAACGCATGTCAAAAATGTTATAAATTGATTTGCATTTTAATGAGGGAAATAAGTATTTGACCCCTCTGCAAAACATGACTTAGTACTTGGTGGTAAAACCCTTGTTGGCAATCACAGAGGGCAAACGTACAAAATCAGCAGGGGATCAAATACTTTTTTCCCTCACTGTAGGCTTCTGCGACCAATATCATCCAAAATACAAGTTGTTTTGGTTAGATCGCGTAAATATATATTAGATCGCGTAAATATCTATTACACGATCCAACCCAAAAAAACCTGTATTATGGAGGGAATGACACTCGACGCTCCGCACAGACCTATGCAATACGACCGTTCCCCCGATTTCAACACAACGGCTGTGAAGACAAGTAAGTGGGGGCTTGTGGTGGACGATTGCCGAGGGTCAAGACTGACAAGCGAGCGGTGGTCCAGGGCGGGTAGAGAGGCCTGTCAAGCACGTCCACCTCGCAGAGACGGAGCGATGAGATCCGCTGACGTGCAACGGCGAGATGAGACCACGAGGGAAGGTGACGACTTAGGGGAGGCCTTCTACCGGCAACGGATGAAGCATGGCTGATGATGGTGTCGAAAACCGGTCCAGAGTTAGCTTGCCTTGAAGCAATTCTGCTGAAGCTATGCACTCTCCCACAAGGCTGTGACGTCCTGATGGGTCGCGTGGGAAGAAACACTTCCGCCGTTTATGTTGAGAGACGGGGGGTGTGTAGGGGGTGTATCGTGTGCTTATTATTTTCTTAAAATGAGTAGAAAATTATTGTAATAGGTGACGATTCGGGCAATGGGCCTTCTTCACAGCACACTCTCTACCTCCCTGTCTGTGCTGTCAGAGAGAGCCACAGCTAGACGTGTATCCCACGTCCTGGCTATGCACCCCGCCTTCATGTACACACACTCGCACACACGTCATCGTGCCAGCCATGCACACACTGCGTCAGGGAGCGACGTGCACCCTCCATCATTGACGGATGAGTATTCTGCGCGAGTGATGTAATGTGTGTGCAGCGCATCAGAGATGAGCTGCACGCTGGAGGCAAACGCCAACCACAGGCATCTACAGGGTGGAGGAGGAGGCATCCCAGCCACACACGGCCGAGCGGTGACCACTACCGCCCCCCCCCCCCCCCCCCCCAGAATATAAAGCATCAATTATCTCTCCCACGAGAGGGAACACAATAGCGCTGTGTTACCCGCCTGCGATTAAGGCCGGCGCGACGGAATGTCTGTGGCCGGGCCATCATGAGTCGACCCCACCCCCCACCCCCCGCCAAGGGTAGGGACATCGAGGCACGCGCACAATTAGCACAGCGCTCGCAGAACAACGCCGCTCTTTACAAGCCTCCCTCTTCCTCCTCCTCCACCGCCACCGCCGCCGCCATCCATTCCATTCCGTGTGTGCGTGCGTCAGGGCTGACCGCGTGTGGACCCAGTCACAACGCGTGGCGTTCCCCACTCGCTGCGCTCTTTCAACGGCTCACTGCACGCCCGTGACATCAATGCTGCGAGTGTGCAGTGTGGGGGTTGGGGCTTATTTAATTTTATATAAATTTATAAAGCGCATTTATCCAAGGCTCTGAAGAATAATTCATGAAATTGTACATTACGAGTGTGCCGTAGGATTGCTGTGGGCGTATCGTTAGGATGCTTTGGAAGAGCAGTGAAGACGTTAAAGGGTGTGGACGGTAGTAGGGTAGCGGTGAGCGCGCTGCGCTACGAACTCGGCGACCCGAGTTCGATTGCCCGCTCACGGCCAACACCGGTGACGATTATCTGAACCGGTCCTGAGCACCCCCTATGTCGGCTCGGGCGTGGTGCTGGCCACCCACCGCTTCGCGTGCCATGGCGGCCTTCATAGGTGCTTCTCGCTAGCAGCACTTGCCCTAGCAGTCTTTGTCATATGGGTCTTGAGGGGATGTGTTGCTGGGGTGCATTTGAAAAGCATTGGGGTTGAAGTGGCGGTGTCACAGAGGGTGTCTTAGGGGTGCCGTGGGCATGTAGTGTTGTGGGGGTGCAGTAGGGGGTGGGGGGGTATAATCTCGAGCCCAGACCGAAGCATTTGAAACGCACGAATCGCACGAAACGCACGAATCGTCATCGGGGAGACACTGCGTTGGGAGTCGCCGGCACGCGGTCGCCAAAAGGACCCCGACAGCGAGGGGGACAACAGCCTGAAGCAAATGTCGGGGGTAAGGAATGCGCACGGAGTGTGATGGGAAACGGGAAGCCCCGTTCGACTCTGGGCATTCTCTTTTCCATTACAGCCTGCGGCCATTCCCTTTTCCGTAACAAACAATAACGCCGGTGTATGGGAATTCCATTCGCCCGGCATTCGTCTTAGTCTCTTCCGGCGACAATGAAGGAACGGACGTTCACCAACGTCGCATGAATCAGGGTAGCTACCACGTGTAAACACGGGTGGATGTTGCACAGTAGTTTCCTTTAGGGACAGATCTCGCAAATAAAATTGACGCCGTTCCGCCCTCCTCCACCCGACACATTTGCCAGGATTCTGGCAGCTTCCCGATGATGCTGGTCGTAGCCACGAGCGAAGCGTCCACACACAGCGTAGATCGTTCTCCAGCAACAATAGCGTTGGTGCTGCTCGAGCAGTAATACATTGGGCGCGTGTGTTCACGTGGCAACCAATGCATTTACATGGGACCCTTTAATTTGGCTGCGTCGGGTGGAGGAGGGTGTAGGACACACAATCTACTTAAGCGATCCAACCCCCCCAAAAAAATCTTATGCGAATATAATCTCGGTCGCGAAAGCCTACGCGTGTTAAATGGCCGGATGTTGATTTCCCAAAAGCCCCGCTTTGCCCGTCTCCTCTCAGAAAGGCACTCCGACTCCTCCCCTAACCCACCCTGCCCGGGCTCTCAGCCTCCCCACCGAGCCAGCTGCTATGAGGCCGCTTCCTATTGATTTTCACTCTTCGTGCCCTGCACCGAAGCAGAGAACCGCTCTGCTCATGATCCACTGCCATTTTGACAATAAAAAAATCCGCATGGGGCTGCAGAACGCCAAAGCGAGGCCCTGAATAAAGAACAGCAAAAATGCTGAATTATGTGCACCCACAGTGCCATCACTGCAGATGCTCGTAGCTGAAGAGTTTGAGAGCTGGTGCTGACACTGGTTTTATTGGCTATAGTGTACTGATGATTCCTACATAATTAAGAAACCGGAATAGTTGTCTTCTTGTCCTGTTGCTGGCTAAAACAAAAAGGCCAACGCTTAGTGATGTCCTGCTCGACTGAGCATCGAGACGGTGCTCATCTCCTGTTTAGAACCTTGAGCCAGGGGTGAAAATTCCACATTTCTATGGCAAGGGCTGGTCTCTGCAAAGTTGCATCCAGTGTTGTGATTTCCCCTGCAACGTGGTAGCAATTTTATCGACCCACCGGAGGGATAATGCGCATTTTAACTGGCAATGTTGCGACTGCAAGCCGCTCACTCACTCCCCCGCTGTGTGCATCATACACACAGTGCGTTGATGTCACGTGACATGCAAGGAATGCTGGAACGACCGATTTCATGCCGCCTAAAATCAATCACCAAATATTATAACTCATTTGTTTCCAGCCTGCACAAAATGTTCCGTCGAATTAGTTCACCTTAATTACAAGAAATGGAACATAAAAACATATGCTTCATTCGCATTACGAAATATTTAGCCACTGATATCCATGTGCATCCAGATTGTATTGTATTCAAGGCTGCAACCAAACGAATGTATATGCCTCCGATTGCCAAACCTCACAAGTTAAGCATGTGAGAGTCCGGCTGGAACCCGGCTTGGACGCTGCCTAGGAAAAACAACAGGCTGCGAGCTGGCCGGGAGATGGCAGTACAGCGACAGATTATTTAATCTATCTGTGCGGCGCATTTAGTTTACTCTCCCACGTACGCACAGTGTGTTTTTCTCCAGGTACGGTACTCCGGTTTCCACTCGGAAATGGCCAAACATGCCAGTGCAGGACCCTCTTTGAAAAAAAGAGTCTTCAGACTCAGAGACTTTCGCAGGTGACTCATTGGCACGAGAGTTGTTACTATTATCATGCGCGACTTAACCACGTAGCTTCATGGATCTATCCGAAGGCAGGGCCCTGGGACACGGAAGCTGCTGGCCATGGTGCTGAATTTAAACACAGAGTCGCGCCGGCAGGTTAAGCATAGTTTGCGAAACCCCATTGCTTGCTGTGCAGCAGCTGTTTTCGTATGCAACAAACGGGCGGATTTCTGCAGGGCAGCTTCAGAGAAACCCTATTGTCGTGCAGGCTTGGAGCAGAGGTCTAGGCCCGCTATGAACCCTGGCAGCCGAGACAGATTCCCAATCACGGCTAAAGTCGAATATGACAAGCGTTCCACGCTCCATCTTTGCTCGCTTCTCCACCAACCCGCATTTACCAGCATCATGAGGTTATGGATAAAGACCTGACCGACATGGGCGTGCTGAGAATACCTTGGGTTAATGAATTAATTTACAGTGTTGCTATCGATAATACTGTACTGTGCAGCAGCAGCAGCGAGAGGGGTGGTCCAGTGGGAATTCGATACAATGCCGGGCAGTGGCCATAGGAGGAGAAATCCTAAGCAGTCTTTTGGTGCTGTTCGTGTCAATCCGACGGGGGATATCCTTGGGGTTCGACCCTACACACCTCTAACCCCTTTGACCCCGCACCCCGTGTGCCGTGGTTCACTCTGCTAGGGTCCCTTCAAGAGCTCAGAGACGGGAACTCCCTTCAGCCTGCCGAGGCGACAAGCCAAGCCTCGACTGTGTTGCAAGAAGCGGTGAGGAGGAAAGACCTGGGGGCAGCGAGACTCACAAAGGATATTCCTCTCCCCGGGAGATCGAGTCTCCCAATCAAGAGAAAGGCAGAGAATTCACCCGAACCAGATCAACCACACCCCCACTTCACCGCACAATTAATCCCAAAAACAACAATAATTACGCCTCAATCTAATCTCTATACTTTTGATTCAGGAAGGGCTCTACATTGGGACGTTTAGCTAAATTCCACTGGTGATCGTTGTGGCATGTGGGAGCAGACTCGAGTACCCAGAGAAAAGCCACCAAAAGCAAACGATGGGGGGTGACACTCAGCACTGCCATCGTCTGGCCACTCCCCGACGCCCAACAACATCTGGACAGCACTCGTGGCCGCCACCCCATCCAAGCACGAACCAGGGCTCGAACCCTGCTCGGCGCCGAGTAGAGGAGAGTGCAACGGACAGGGATTGAATGAGCGGTGCGTGCGTAATCATCCACACCTTGATCTTGGACATGAGCGCGTCCTTGGCGTCCTGCTCCTTGGACAGATCCCACACCACCTTGTCCTTCTCGGCCATGAGCTCCTCCTCCTCCTCTTCGGCTCCTTCTCGCTTCTCCTGCTTCTTGCCGCAGCTGCGCACCTCCGCCTCATCCCGCTTCTCTCCGCCCGCCGAGTCCATGGCGAAACCGTCATCGTCCACTTCATCATCGTCAACGTCGCCGTCGTCGTCACCATCGTCATCTTTGTCGTTCTCGCCGTCACCGCCCGCGCGAGACTTCCTCCTGCTCGTCCGACTCCTGCGCCGCTCCCTGCAGAGGCTGCGCTTCTCCAGTTGCGCCCTCAGCCTGGAGATCTCCTCCTGGAACTCGCGCAGCAACGCGTCTTTTGGGTCCTCGTTGATGCGCGGCTTGTTCTTGATGTTCTTGGCACGACTGGCGTAGCGCAGCGTCGTCAGGGACTCGTCGTAGTTGCAGTCGGCGGGACCCACCGTGGCCACCATGATGGTCTTGGCGTTCCCTCCCAGTGAGTCCTGCAGGAGCCGAGTGAGCTTCGAGTCGCGGTACGGGACGTGGCTACTTCGGCCGTCCACCAGGGCCGAGATGACGTTGCCGAGCGCCGACAGTGACAGGTTGATCTTGGTGGCCTCCTTGAGTCGTTCGCCCTGCGCCCCCGTCTTGGCCTGCCGCTCGCTGCCTGCCAGGTCCACGAGGTTGAGCTTCCCGGCTCGGATGCGCGCCTGCCCGTCCACGCCGCGCTCGCTGCTCTCCACCGTGACCACGAAGATGGCGTGCGAGCGCGAACTCCGCTCGTTCATGTTGGTGGCGCCCACAGCGCGATTCTGACCTCCCACGTTCATGACGTGCTCGATCTCCTTGACGCTCTTGGTCACGAAGGACGACAGCTCCTTCACGTAGACGCCGACGTCGGGCCGCTCCTTGAGCTCCAGCCGCTGGCTCTGATCCTTGCACAGGAGGTCCCGGATCTCCTCCCGATAGATCTCCAGGTAGGAGGCGCGCACCAGGTACTGCTGGTTCTGCGAGCGCGAGATGTGCGTGAAGATCTGCTCGAACGAGCTGGGGATGACGCCGCGGCGCTCCGGGTCACCGCAGGCCCTGCCGGGACCTTCCATGGTGTAGGTCTTGCCCGTGCCCGTCTGTCCGTAGGCGAAGATGGTGCCGTTGAAACCAAGCAGCACCGACTCCACCAGCGGGCGGAAGGTTTCGTCGTAGAGGTCTGCCTGCTTCGAGTTCCAGTCGTAGACGGCGTCGAAGGTGAAGCTCTTGGGCAGTTCCGATGGTCCGGCGCGCGGGTTCCTCACGGTCACCTGGCCCAGCTTCACGTCCAGGTCGACGGCGCCGCAGCAACCCGCCGATTCCTCCCGGCGGCTCAGCGGTCGGCAGCGGACCACGACTCGCACCGTCTCCTGCGCCTTGGCACGAGACGACATCGCGGCGTTGGAGCCTCCAACACTGACAACACCACCTCCTCCTCCTCCAACACCACCTCCACCACCACCTCCTCCTCCTTCTTCTTCGCTGCCGCCGCCGCCGCTGCCTCCTCCTCCTCCTCTCCGGGGCTCGAGTCTCTCATGCCCCCGTCGCGGCCCTGGGAGAGAGCGAGAGAGCGCGGCTCTCCTCCCGTCTCCCCTCCTCTCTTCTCCTCCTCGCTCTCCTCCCCTCTCCTCTCCGCTGTCTCCCAGCTCTCTCCCCTCTCGTATTTCCTCTCCCGTCCTCTCCTCCCCTCTCCCCTCTCTCTCCCCTCCCGTATCCCCTCTCTCTCCCCTCTCTCTCCTCTCCCTCCTCTACCCTCCTCCCCTCTCCCCTCCTCTCCCAGCTGTCTCCCGTCTCCCCCCTCCCGTCTCCCCCCTCTCCCTCCCCTCCCCTCCCCTCCTCTCCTCGCTCTCCCCCCTCCTCTCCTCTCCCCCCCTCCCCCCTCCCTCCCCCCTCCCTCCCCCACTCTCCCCCCCCCCCTCCCTCCCCCACTCTCCCCCCCCTCTTCCCCCCCCATCCTCTCCCTCCCCTCTCCCCCCTCTCCCCTCCCCCCCCTCCCCCTCCCCTCTCCCCTCCTCGTCCACTGCAGCTCCACTCCTGCACGCCGCAGCGGCTTTGTATTTGCCAGTGCACACAGTCGGGCGTGGCAGCGCCTTCAGACTTGGTAGTGTAGGTGGGGAGGCGAGGCATTGCGGTTAGATTTGGTAGTGTGCATCGGGTCGGCGGTGGCAATGTCAATAGATGTTGTCATGCAACATTGTGTTGGCCTGGCATCGCGATTAGATCTGGTAATGCATGCGGGTTGGTAGGCGTGGCAGTCTAATTGTATTACATGGCATCACATTTAACAAAATATAAATATTCGTCAATACAACCGCCGTAGAAAAAATAATAATAATATTATATACTTGGGAGACATTACGGGCAACACGCAAATGGATGCGCCATGAAGGGGCTATTCACCCATTCCATATTTCCTTTTAAGGCCACACACAGACACACAGACACACACGTGGGATGTTTGTACGAATTCCCTGAGGGTTTGTGTTGTCGTTATTAATTGCGCGCTGTGCACCCGTGCCAATGTTATCAGCAGCCCTTACCAGGCAATTAGTTTTACACTTTGGGTGGGAATCGGTATTTATCCGTGCATGTAATTAGGTGTGGCAGTGCCATTGTATTTGGTAATGCGTAAGGGTATGCGTGACAATGGGATTAGATTTGGTAACGCATATAGGTATGCACGTCAGTCCTGCGTTTGACGCGGGGTGGGCAATGGATTTTATTTGGTAGACTTAATAAGTGCGCGATGATGTGATTGTATTTGTTAGTGCATATTGACCAATGCGGCTCTTCCATGAAACACAAACGGTCGTGGCGAGTCTATTGTATTTGCCAGTGCATATAAATAGATGAGCGGCATTAGATTTGTATTTGCTAGTTTACATAGGCGGACGTGTTAAGAAGTGTGTCTGTGCATGTTGAACTTCTGTCGCACCGTACGTATTAGATTTCATAGTGTGTATGCGCGAGCACGGCTACACTTGCATTCATCGTTGGGCACCGTGCGGGTGTACGGAAGAGGTTTGCAAGTGCACACAGATGGGGGTGATGTGATAAGGGGCCGTCCATAAATGACGTCACGCGATTTTGGACGATTTTTGACCCCCCCCCCCCTCGTCACACGGCGTCACAAAAAGTCAGACCCCCCCCTCAAATATGACGTCACAAAGCTCTGCCCCCCCCCCCCAAAAATAAAACATGCTTCAAATCGCTTTAAACTATTATAATTGTAGTGCGTATTTAATGTGGCGCTGCACTCTGATGTTGTAGGAGAAAACATTTGTTAAAAAGTCTATTTCATTAAGTAGAACGCGTTGTCTATATTTATTTAAAGTTGCGCATTTTGATGTGACGTCACATTTCTCACCCCCCTCCCCTCCTCGTCACACATCGTCACAAATGTCTGACCCCCTCCCCTAGGTGCGTGACGTCATTTATGGACGGCCCCTAATGCAATAGGAGGACTTGACAGTGCGATTACATTTGGTTTTATATATGTGTGTGTGCTGCACGTGGTTGTAATTGTTAGTGCGCATTGGCAGGCGTGACTCGCGACGTTTGTATTCGCTAGTGCACATCGGTGGGCATCGGCGAGCAATCCGATTTGATGTCAGGCCGGTTGAGTTTCGTCAATGTTGGTTTGCGTGTCATAAGGGGCCGTCCATAAATGACGTCACGCACCTAGGTGGGGGGGGGTCAGACATGTGTGACGATGTGTGACGATGGAGGAGGGGGGGGTTGAGAATTGTGACGTCACATCAAAATGCGCAACTTTAAATAAATATAGACAACACGTTCTGCTTAATTAGACTTTTAATAAATGTTTTCTCCTACAACATCAGAGTGCAGCGCCACATTAAATACGCACTACAATGATAATCGTTTAACGCGATTTGAAGCATGTTTTATTTTTTTTGGGGGGGGGGAGGCAGAGCTTTGTGACGTCATATTTGAGGGGGGGGTCTGACTTTTTGTGACGCCGTGTGACGAAGGGGGGGGGGGGTAAAAATCGTCCAAAATCGCGTGACGTCATTTATGGCAAGGCGGCCAGCAGAGGGCAGTGCAGCGACAAATAACAATCGACAGCGTTGTGCTGTACTTCTACGCTGCCGCAGTCGTGCCCCCTTCGCCAAAACCCTTCAGAGCCGGTTTGTTAATCCGCTGCCGGAGGCGAGCCTAACCACGCCGTGCGGTTTGTTGCAGGTGGGGAGCACACATGTTGGCAAAGACAAAGATCCCCCGTGTAGCCCACGCGTGCTGTTGGGGCAAGTGCTGTCGGCGAGTAGCACCTATGAAGGCCGACACACGAGGGGGCGGGTGGCCAGCACCATGCACGGCTGCCTTTGTATCCCCCAGAGCTGACGTTGCCCATGTACTGCACCTATTTAAGGTTGAGTTGACCTAGGGGGGGGGGGGGGGCTCGGGACCGGTTGAAATATTAGTCGCTGGTGGCAGCGAGCGGGAATTAAACTCGGGTCGCCAGGTTCGCAATGCAGTGCGCAAAAACCAATGCGTCACCACCGCTCCCCATAGAAGTTGGCGCATAGTACAGCACAACTATGGATTTTGCTGCACTGCCCCACCCCATCCCCAAATCATCCCCCCTTTTCCTACCATCTCACCTTGATTGGCGAGTCACCCTGTGTTTTATAATACGTAGCATATCCGACCGTCACAAAATAAAAATCGTGTAAAAATACTTTTAAAAAAACACGCTTTAATGAAATGTACTGTCCGAGCTGCCCCTCCCCGTGCCCCCTTCCCCCATCGCCCCTCCCCTCCTTCCACATCCCCCGCCTCTTAGCGTGGCTCCCCGAGGCTTGCCGTGACCTAAAGGACCGTGGTGATTTACAGGCAACGTGAGTTGAGCGTCGACAATTAGAGCAGTAAACGTGGACAATTAGAGCCGTTAAAAAGATTGTTTAAAAATATCTTTTTAATTTCCAATGATAGAATATAGTATTGTCATCAGTATGACATACCTATACAAAGTTTGCAGTCGATACGACATTGGGAATACGGTTGAAATTGAGTCACAAGATTTTAGGATACGACAACACACAGAGTAAGTTAAATAAGTTAAATAAAAAATGTTTAAAAATATGTTTTCGATTTTTTTATGATAGAATATAGTATTGTCATCAGTATGACATAGGTATTTCAAGTTTTCAGTCGATAGCACATTGGGAAGTGGGTAAAAATTGAGTTACAAGATTTCTTTTTTGAGGATACAACAGACGGAGTGAGTTTAACACGTAGGCTTTCGCGACCAATGTTATTCATAATCAACGATTTTTGGGTTTAGATCGCGTTTATTTATAAATGTGTCGTAACCCTCCACCACCCGACACGGCCAATCAGTAAAAAATGTGTCACGTTGACAAAGACAAATAGTTCACTGCTTTAGCCCACCGGTGTGTTGAAGCAACAACATTCACAATTTGAGTACGACGTTTCGCTGGTAATTACAACCAGCATCATCGGGCAATTCGCCAGAATGGTGAGGCTCTCCTGTGTCTCCCGTTCTTATATAGAGCAGCAGCAGGATGACGTCATCATTAACTCATTAACTCATCAGGTGCAAAGATTCAAGGGGGGAGTGATTGTAATTATATACTAGATTAGTAATCAGGCTATTGTTACGATGCGAGTTGTAGATTAGTAATCATTTGGAATGTGTTTTATTGTGATTATGCTACATTAGTAATCTGTTAGTGGTTGTTTCCCTTATAAGTAATTGTAATGTATCTTATTTAATAATACGCTTCCAGGCCGCACTAAGCCTGTAGCTGTCTGAGCGATTAAAGTTATTTCTGTTTCTCTCAATTTCAATCGATTCTCTAATTAGTCTTTGCCAGTAGTAACTAGTTTTACACAACACTTCCACGTTGTCAAAATCAATTGAGTGTCCCTGTTGGCATGCATGTTCTGCTACTGCCGACAGTTGTGTTTGTGATAGTTTAATATTTCTCTGGTGTTCTTTAAGTCTTACACTAACGTTACGCCCTGTCTGTCCAATATAGCATCTGCCACATACACAATTAATCCGATATACACCTTCTGTTGATAATTTAGGTAATTCGTCTTTAGTGCACGTTACTAGTTGTTGAATTTTGTGTACTGTACCAAATCTTACTGTAATGTTTTGCTTTTGCAAAACACGGGCTAATTTATCAGTTACTCCTGAGATAAATGGTATTTTTATTGTTTTAATAATCTGATCGCTTTCAGCAGTGTTGCTTTGCGATCGTGATTTGGCTTTTAGTGCTCTGTTAATTTGAGCATTATTGTAGCCATTCTGTCTTAGTGCTTCTTTAACATGTTTAATCTCTCTCACTAGACTTTCACCATCTGACACTGTTTTAGCCCGATGTATGAGCGTCTTGATAAGAGAGGATTTCTGAGCTGGGTGATGATGCGAATCTGCATTCAGATAGGCATCAGTGTGCGTTGGCTTTCTGTAAACGCTGTGTGTTATTTTACCGTTTGGGCCATGCCCAAGTAAAATATCCAGGAACGGGAGTGTGTTATTCACCT